TAGAAAGAACCAGAATCATATATTTTTTTAAATATTAAGAATAATAAAGAAATATAATTTCATATTATAACATTTATATAAATAATCATTGGTCTACAAGATGGTCAATCATGTCATACAAAGCAGATAACACACCTTTTCATTAAAAATCATCTTAAAATTCTGTCAAAATTCACACAATCAAATAAGATACAAAGCAATTTTAAATTTATTTAAGGAATAACTGTAATATTTTTTCTGTCTATGAAGAAATAACATCAAAAATGTGATGCACACTGAATAACCCACGTAGCGGGTTATTTTAAAGTGTGCATCACATTTTTTATGTTATTTCGAATAGACAGATAAAATATTACAGTTATTTCTTATAATTCAATTCTAAATTCCATTTTAAACCGGAGTAAACAATGAAAAAACGTTGATGACGTCACGGTCACATGACTAAATTATGTCTATGAGCTGATAAACAAAACAACGTCAGCCAATCAGCAGACGCGTTACATCCAAAATTAAATTATTTTAATATGGAAAACAAGTCTCAAGCAATCTTAAAATTGTATTTATTTTATATCCCAAATTTTGTTGTCATAAGTCATATTCCATTGTAATGTCATATATATGAACCATTCTAAACCAATCCCTGGGTAAATGGTATTTTTTTTAACCATAAACCTAATTAAACTATTACAAGTGTAAACCAAAAACTTGTCTAAACTATTTTGTGTAAACCAATCATGTACCCAGCCTTGCAATAGATATTTTCGATAAATAAACCAATTTAACAGGTCACATCCTATCTTAATATTTGGCCAAAAAGAGTTTGAAGGCCTCACTGTGACTTTGAGATGAAGAACAGCAATAAAAGCATTGTTCCTTTGCTGTTTGTGTTTTTTGCTGTGCATATACTTAAATTTGGTGTCATGGGTGGACACCCTATATCCTTTCTTTTCTATTATGGTGTATACAGTCATGCTATAAAAAATACCTTTTAACATTTCATTAATGTAAGCTCTATAGTAATTAACTCTATGTTCATCACGTAAACTTCCATTTCTATCTGAGACACCATTCTCTGTTACATACACAGGGAAGTTATTGTAGGTTTTAGCAATCCAGTTCAATGTTTTCCTCAAACCAAATGGAGTAACCTTTAACCAATTGGAACCAGACCTGTGTTATCAAAAAAGTAATTATTAGTATAGTTAACAGCAAAATAAAATAGCTTCTGAAAAGAAGATTTGTTATTAACTGAACAATACAAGATGTACCGTGAGTTGTTGCCAAAATACTTTATCCAAAATTAATATTGTTGACTAAACATGTTTCATATATTATCATGACATTTTAAAGATATAAAATTTGGGTAAAGAGAATGTAGAACATAGAAAGTAACTGAATTTATGTGCCTGTCCGAAGTCAGGAGCCTGTAGTTCAGTGGTTGTCGTTAGTTCATGTCTCTATGTGCCTGTCCGAAGTCAGGAGCCTGTAGTTCAGTGGTTGTCGTTAGTTCATGTCTCTATGTGCCTGTCCGAAGTCAGGAGCCTGTGGTTCAGTGGTTGTCGTTAGTTCATGTCTCTATGTGCCTGTCCAAAGTCAGGAGCCTGTAGTTCAGTGGTTGTCATTGGTTCATGTCTCTATGTGCCTGTCCAAGTCAAGTCAGGAGCCTGTAGTTCAGTGGTTGTCGTTAGTTCATGTCTCTATGTGCCTGTCCCAAGTCAGGAGCCTGTAGTTCAGTGGTTGTCGTTAGTTCATGTCTCTATGTGCCTGTCCCAAGTCAGGAGCCTGTAGTTCAGTAGTTGTCGTTGGTTCATGTCTCTATGTGCCTGTCCCAAGTCAGGAGCCTGTAGTTCAGTGGTTGTCGTTGGTTCATGTCTCTATGTGCCTGTCCCAAGTCAGGAGCCTGTAGTTCAGTGGTTGTCGTTGGTTCATGTCTCTATGTGCCTGTCCCAAGTCAGGAGCCTGTAGTTCAGTGGTTGTCGTTGGTTCATGTCTCTATGTGCCTGTCCGAAGTCAGGAGCCTGTAGTTCAGTGGTTGTCGTTGGTTCATGTCTCTATGTGCCTGTCCCAAGTCAGGAGCCTGTAGTTCAGTGGTTGTCATTGGTTCATGTCTCTATGTGCCTGTCCCAAGTCAGGAGCCTGTAGTTCAATGGCTGTCGTTGGTTCATGTCTCTATGTGCCTGTCCGAAGTCAGGAGCCTGTAGTTCAGTGGTTGTCGTTGGTTCATGTCTCTTTGTGCCTGTCCCAAGTCAGGAGCCTGTAGTTCAGTGGTTGTCGTTAGTTCATGTCCGTCATATTTGTTTTTAAGTAAATTGTTTTGTTACAAATTAGGCTGTTAGTTTTCTAAATTGAATTATTCCATATTTTCATGCCTTTTATAGTCGACTTTACAGTATGGGTTTTTCTTATTGTTGAAGGCAGTACAGGAGCCCATAATTGCTTACATTCACTTCATTTGAACTTTGGTGGATAGCTGTCTCATTGGTAATCATGCAAAATCTCCTTATTTTTATATTGAAAAAGTGTCACACAGTGTGGCAAAACCAGATGATGCCATAATTCAAAAAGCTATGACTTGTATTGGCAGAGAAAAATGAGACAGAAATGTGTTGCAGACAGACTGACAGATAGATGGATGCATAGATCATATAAAATAATGGCCCCTTCTAATGTAGGTTGGGCATAAAACGTCTACAATTTTGAAGCAATCCTAAAATACATCAATGGCAAAATCCAGAGTAGAGCTGAAAGTTGATGTTATAACACAGAAACTAGGAGGTTCTGAAGAGTTTGTGTCGCTCACCAAGGTCTCTGCATGTGCATCATTAGCACTGGACATCTGAAACATTGTAGCCTTGAATACTGTAAATTCAGAAATTATTGCGTGCATTTATTTTTGCGATTTTGTCATTTTAGACTAAAATGTGATTTTAATTTTTGCGATGTTTAGCGAAAATCCTGTTTAATTCATATAAAAAATTTCAAAATGCGAGTTTAAATTATTGCGATTATAACCCTGTCGCATTTTTCGCAATAATAAAAACATCGCAATAATTTCTGAATTTACAGTAGATTTATAAAATTATATTATTCATGACAAAATCTCTCTTTTGTTGATCTTGAATTGCTCATTTAGTTTTGTTGACAGTTTCTCTCAATCTTCTTTAGTTTTTGCCCAAAACACACAAAAGGGGTAAAAAAAACCCAGTGTGCTTTGTATTGAACAAAATTGAAATACAAGTTTTGACAGTTAGACAGTGCCAAAACAAATTATTTCTTATAATGACTTTTACAAAATTAGAGACTCTCAAGATAACTAGAGGCTCACAAGAGCCTGTGTCGCTCACCTGACTCTACTTTGGTTTTAGAAATCATGTAAAAATAGATAAAAATCATAACAGATACCCAAATAATGATTGAGGCCAAATTTGGTTTAATATTGGTCCCGTTATTTAATAAAATATCCTGGTGGCCATCTTGAACAGTAAATCGGCAACAAAGTAGCAAAACTTGGTCAGCACCTCATAAGGAACATTCATGCCATGTTTGGTTTCATTCCATTCAGTGGTACTCTAAAAGAAGACATTTGTTTGTATTTCCAATAAGGTCCTATGTTAAACTAAGTCCCCTGCAGGCGGCCATCTTGGATGATGGATCGGCTGCAAAGTAACAATACTTGGTCAGCACCTCATAAGGAACATTCATGCTATGTTTGGTTTCATTCCATTCAGTGGTTCTCTAAAAGAATACATTTGTATGTATTTCCCATAGGGTCCTATGTTAAACTAAGTCCCCTGCTGGTGGCCATCTTGGATGATGGACCGACTGCAAAGTAACAACACTTGGTCAGCACCTCATAAGGACGTTCATGCCATGTTTGGTTTCATTCCATTCAGTGGTTCTCTAAAAGAATACATTTGTATGTATTTCCCATAAGGTCCTATGTTAAACTAAGTCCCCCGCTGGCGGCTATCTTGGATGATGGATCGGCTGCAAAGAAACAACACTTTGTCAACACCTCATAAGGAACATTCATGCTATGTTTGGTTCCATTCCATTCACTAGTTCTCTAAAAGAAGACATTTGTATGTATTTCCCATAGGGCCCTATGTTAAACTAAGTCCAACGCTGGCGGCCATCTTGGACAATGGATCGACTGTAAAGTAACAGCACTTGGTCAACACCTCATAAGGAACATTCATGCCATGTTTGGTTCAATTCCATTCAGTGGTTCCCTGAAAGAAGACATTTGTATGTATTTCCCCTAGGGTCCTATGTTAAACTAAGTCCCCTGCTGGCGGCCATCTTGGATGATGGATTGACTGCAAAGTAACAACACTTGGTCAGCACCTCATAAGGAACATTCATGCCATGTTTGGTTCCATTCCATTCAGTGGTTCTCTAAAAGAAGACATTTGTATAGCCATGATGGCTCCCCTGTGCCTCCATTCACTTTATCTGTATCATAACTAATAATAAATACCCAAGTCATAATGGCTCCCCTGTGAATCCATTCCTTTTATCTGTATCATAACTAATAATAAATACCCAAGTCATGACGGCTCCCCTGTGAATCCATTCCTTTTATCTGTATCATAACTAATAATAAATACCCAAGTCATGACGGCTCCCCTGTGAATCCATTCCCTTTATCTGTATCATAACTAATAATAAATACCCAAGCCATGATGGCTCCACTGTGACTCAATTCCCTTTATCTGTATCATAACTAATAATAAATACCCAAGCCATGATGGCTCCACTGTGACTCCATTCCCTTTTACTGTATCATAACTAATAATAAATACCCAAGCCATGATGGCTCCACTGTGACTCCATTCCCTTTTTCTGTATCATAACTAATAATAAATACCCAAGCCATGACGGATCCCCTGTGCCTCCATTCTGTGTATATGTATCATAACTAACAATAAATACCCAAGTCATGGTGGCTCCCCTGTGCCTCCATTCCCTGCATCTATATCGTAACTAATAATAAATACCCAAGCCATGATGGATCCCCTTTGCCTCCATTCCCTTTATCTGTATCATAACTAATATCATTGATTACATCTTTATCTTCTGGATATACTAAGAAAGATGTATAAAAATTCAATCCAAGAAAGTCTGTACTTCCTGAAAAAGAAAAGAAATTCTACAAATAACAATATAAAAATAGAAGGCTCTGGTGATCCAAATGTTTATCAAGTAGCTGCACACATCGTCACAATTCAAATATCTGCAAACAGCAAAGTATTGTTACTGACAGATCTTAAAAGAACTAGATGTGTCGGAACGACACGAATGGCCCCGTCTCAAAAAGTTGGAAAATCTGCAATTTCAACAACACATATGGACACAAACATGCATGGATAGTTATCCAGCTCTCAAGACCAATACTAGTCTGATGAAAAATTTCCTTGATCAATGAGTAGTTAAATTTCAAACAATCAGCAAACAGGAAGTGGATGTACTGAAGATGTGTTGAAACAACATGTAAATCAGCATATCGGAACAAAACATAAACTTGATCTGTTACTCATCAAGGTAGACTCACATATAAAAAATCAGCGCAAAATCAGAAGGCGTATAGAACAAAAGTCTGTATAACTGTGATTTTCAACAATTTTCAAAGTCCAAAACCTGTAATTACGGCAAAAATCAGCAGAGCAAATTGAAACTTAAAACTTGATCTGTCTGTAACACATCATGGTTAACTCGTATAAAAAAAATCAGCCCAATATCTGAAGGTGTTTAGAAAAAAATTCGTACAACTGTGATTTTCAATAATTTATCAAAGTCCAAAGCCGGTAATTTCGGCAAAAATATTAGTAGAGCGAAACGAGACTTAAACTTGATCTGTAACTCATCATGGTTAACTCACATACCAAAAATCAACCCAATATCTAAAGGCGTTTAGAAAAAAGTCTGTATACCTATGTTTTTCAACAATTTATCAATGTCCAAAGCATGTAATTTCAGCAAAAATTAGCAGAGCAGAATGAAACTTAAACTTGATCTGTAACTCATCATGGTTAACTCACATACCAAAAATCAGCCCAATATCTGAAGGCGTTTAGAAAAAAAGTCTGTATAACTGTGATTTTCAACAATTTATCAAAGTCCAAAGCAAGTAGTTTTGGCAAAAATTAGCATAGCGGAACAAAACTTAAATTTGATCTGTAACTCATCATGGTTAACTGGCATACCAAAAATCAGCCCAATATCTGAAGGCATTTAGAAAAAAAGTCTGTATAACTGTGATTTTCAACAATTTATCAAAGTCCAAATCCCGTAATTTCGGCAAAAAATAGCAGAGCGGAACGAAACTTACACTTGATCTGTAACTCATCATGGTTAACTCACATACCAAAAATCAGCCAAACATATGAAAGGCGTTTAGAAAAAAAGTCTGTATAATGGTTTGTTGCAGAATGACGGAATGACAGAATGACAGAATGACAGATTGACGGACAAGGGTAAAACTATATGGCCCCGACCACTTTGTTGTGGGGCCATAAAAATATTTAAATGCATCATTGCCAAGCTGCTGACTAAATGTGAAATCATTCTGCAAGGGAAATCAAAATCTCCCCCTTTGATAAAAAATTACCTTGTTTCAACCCCCTTTCCTGATTTGAGTTTGAAATAATAGTAATTACTATTTGTCCAATGCACTTATCTGGATTTATCTCCATCAAGAATAAACCAAAAAACAATTAAAATCCCAAGGGTGTAGATTACTTCTTTTTTTATATTGTTCTCATGATTCAATACACTTACATATCAATAATCAAAGGGAAATTTATGTACTTCTGTAACAACAAATAAATTTCTGAGAAAAATCTATGCATTGGTTTTGAATTCTTTGACAATTTTAAGACAATTTTAAAAACTTTTAAACAGATTTTATGTCTTTTCTATACAAATGGAAATCTATTTTGAAAGAATTAATTCTATTGTAGTTCAGAAAATAGAAGAGATAATATCATTAACCTACCACTAGTGGTTCCCCATAAAATGACCTAATCACAAACTAATACATGTAAACTATGAAAAGTTTCAAAGTCAATAGACCCTGACTGAGGGGGCGGGGCCAAATAATCTCTATGGAAATGAGATGTGCCAATGCTTATACAACTGCATACCAAATATCATTGACCTACCACTAGTGGTTCACCATGAACTAGACCTAATCACAAACTAATACATTGTTGACGCCGCCGCCACCGCCGCCGCCGATGCCGGAAACAGCATACCTATGTCTCCCTTTTTGACTCCGTCAAGGCGAGACAAAAATCTGTGACATATCCCTAATTACTGTAACTTGACATCTGTAACATGCAATAGGGGTCATCTGACAGCTTTGGTCAAATCATGGAAGTATTATATGACAGGAATAACAACAACGCCAGTTCAAAGGTTTCATCTGCGTTACCACCTATCTTCCAATTACTCGTCAATTGGTTTAAGATATGGAATGGTAATTGATTCTCGGCATGTGATCAACAAAATCACTGACACTTTTCGTCCATTTTCCTGTTCATGAAAATATACGAACAGATCTAGACCAGTTGACGGTTGTTGTCGGACATACTTACGAAGTAACCCGAATAGTTCACTCGTTACATTCCGCTGTTGTACGCTGCCCAATAGAGTCACTCGTTCAATGTTGACTTTAGGCTATTTTTCATATTTAGGTCTTTTTTCGATCTTGATAGTTTAAGCTGACAGTTATCACATATGAAATTAGGGGGAAAGGGTGGATCATTTTCAATTTTAATATTTAAAGATAGTTAAGAATCCATTTCTGAAAGTTTGTGTCATCTGTACTATTATCTGTCTGTTTGTCTTTTTATTTTTGGCCATGGCGTTGTCAGTTTGTTTTCGATCTATGAGTTTGACTGTCCGTCTGGTACAGCCCTCAAAGTAGCTTCTGAAATGAAGTTGCCAATTGGCCACCAGACATGAAAATTTAGTGGCCAACTCAAAATTTCAGTGGCCAAGAAATAATTTTAGGTTGTCTACATTTTTTTCTAGTTAAACAACCCTTGTGAAATAAGAGTATTAAGTTTTTGTTCTGTGTTTGTATGCTGTCGAGAGTAGAAAATAGTTTGTATAAAATCAACTGTAAAATAACCACATGATTTATTTAATTTTATATTCATTGTACATGTTTTAAAAGTAGTTTGCAGTGTTAAGCGGAAGCCCGAAGCCTCAGTCTAGTAGAAATCTCATCAGACTTGTGCTTAGAAGCTCGGTTGCCCGATCTGTCAAGTGAACATCTGAAATCGTTTGCGAAATCGTAGCCGGTATTTTATTGAATCTAAGAGAACCAGTTACAGAATCGACAACCTTGTTTCCATCCGTTTACTGACAAAATCGAGAACGAGGCTCGACCATGTGCTTTCAATAAACACAATCTATAAATGCCAATGGTTTTCTTTCTAACGGCACTTAATAGTCAAAGTTGTGACTGAGTGCAGAAATAGTGCAGTATAAAAGGCGCTTGAAATACAATATAAATTTGTGTTACTGTCAAGCGCTCAGACAATTTTTTAAAAACCTGATTCTGATCAGGGCAAAATTTACGAAAATTTACGGTCGCCAGATTTTCAATATTCTAATAGCCTAAATGGCGACCAGTCATGAATTTTGGTCGCCAATCAGCTTTTAAAGTCGCCCAGGTGACCATTTAAGTAGACTTAAATTGAGGGCTGTGGTATCTTTCGTCCCTCTTTTTTAAGAAGATAATTGTACAAAAATATGTTTGGACCTCCTTTTTTTAAATAAAAATAATGGAAGTTTTTCGTGTATACTAGTAAATTAAAATATTCACAATTTTAAACATCTATATTCTTTAATTTGTACATTAACTAATTCATGGTTAGAAATATAGCGTCAAGCTCATTTTGTTTGGTTGTTTCTCTTGTTGTTTTAACTTGTTAATTAATACTAGTATTCAATTGTTATCAAACACTTTTTTAAAATAGATATAAATTTCATGTTTTACAACTTTATAATCCAGATTTTAATAGTTCAGTTTCAATAATGTAATCAATGACATTATTACAATTATATAATTCTTATATGATTTACATATTAGAGAATACATTGATATGATTGGTCTAGAGGACTTCCGGCAGCTAATCTTGACGTTGTTTATTTTTCGATAGACGACGTTGACCGAACTTCTTTTTTGTAACCAATGTAAACAAGATGGCGGCGATAATAATACAATCCGACTCGACGTTAAAAATATTGTTTTCACTTCATGTTAATCGTTAAATAAAATGATCAACATAAAACATTTATTTGAATGATAATAAGAGTTTTTGTAGTTTTTTTATCAGATAGCAAATTTCATGGAGTACATATTTTTGCGTTAATCAACAAATATATTCATGCACCAGGCCAACTCAATGACACAAATATACAAATATGCGAAAGATATAACGAGTGTGGAAAATTAAATTCGTCATCTCAAATTTTAAAGAATTATAAGGATTAAACGGCTTTTTAAAGGAATTTATTGGTGTATAAACTGGACCAAGTCACTCACAAACATATTGTTTGTGAGTGAATTGGTCGAGTTCATACACCAATAAATTCCTTTAAAAAGGCGTTTAATCCTATAATAAATCTAAAATTCTTGAAAGTAAATATCCTTTAATAAATCTTGATAAACTTGGCACATTTCATCAGTAAAATAAATTATGTCTTCATTTGCATGATATGTCTACATTATTTTTTAAAACATCATGTGAAACCTGATCGCTTCTGCAGGTCATTAATACATGCTAATTAATTGTTGTTATTCCTTTTCATTTTACTTCCATGGTCAAACTAACAGTTAAGATAGAACTCGGCATTCTGAATATTTTTGCCCCTTCAGACTTTCTCCATAAGGGTTTTCAATATATAAAACAATACATGCATTTTATCCCCCATGTTTCATTAGCCATTATTGTCAGCGAGCAAGTTCATCAGATTCAATATTGAATCTAGATACCTTAAGGATGACTGTGTTTTTTTGCATTTGGTCTTTTAGTTTCAGAGGAGAAGATTTGTTTTACAGTTGTATTACCTTTAAGATTTCTTTGTTCTTCTGCTGTAAATTCTGGTAATCTGGATTTGGCAAGATTTTGCAGAAGACTGTTGTTTCTTACTCTACTCTTCATAACATCAGGATAATCACCAAACATAATCGGATTTGCAAACCAACCAAAATCAAACTGCATTCCACGCTCTGATGCCTCCACATGTGAAGGGTCGTAGGGATCCAATGGTTCAGCCCATCCAACATTTAAGGTGATGCCAACTTGACCTAACATTTAAAATAAAAAAATAAATAAAAAATTACACTGAATACATTTTGTGTGTGACTGTCCAAGGCACTTTCCTGGGTCCACCTTCATCAGGAATAATCCAACAAAACAACAATGGATGTAAATTACTTTATCCTGGTGGCTCTTTTTTTTTTTATCCTACTCTCCAATCACAAACCTTGAGTTCATTTAGTGTATAGTAATTTTAAACCCATTTTAGTTCATTTAACAAATAATTAATCCAAAATTCAGAAGCTAGACTTATGTAAAAACAATTCTTACAAATATATGCTTGTACGAGAATTCAAGTCAAAGGTAATTCAGGCAAGAGTTGTATCACTATGTTTGACAAATGTTGATCTCAAAAAATAAATTCAATCTGAATTCCATGAATTGTACGTCAACCGTAATAAAATGCTAACAGATCTGTAAGTTAAATTTCACACTAATGTACCAAAATTACCTCCTCTGCTTCAATTACAAAAGAAAAGTCTGAACAAGTACACTAATGTAACAAATATCTAGCAGGTATTACAATGAAAAGTCTGGAATGGTACAATTTTCAAGGACCTTCATCAGGAAAACTGACATTTCTAGTCAGTTAATATTGAAATCAAAAGCACCTGCCTTGTGCCAGGTTTGTAATCACAACCCCATGTTTTTACAGGCTAGTGGTACAGTAGATGAACTACTTAGACCACTCTGCCACTACCTTTTAAGATCATGTCCTCTCACTAATCATAAGTATTTCAAAGTTGGGGACTATTTTGAACGCATCTATCCCATTGAACTTGAAATAAAGAATACAGCAGATACAGTTAAGTAGTTTAGTGTACCTCAAATCTTGATTCACATCTAGAAAGTGACAATTAAGGTCGGATGAGGACAAAAATACTTAATGACAAAAAGGATTTCCAATTGCAAAATTTCCATTTCTGTGAAGCAACATTCAAGAACAGCCTACGTCTCCCAGTTGGCACTAATTTGCAGAGCTTGAATTTACTACCATAATTTCCTAGTAGAGGGTTTCTTCTTACAGTACAAGAAAGCTATTAAAGCAAGGGTTCCAAGTGGTATAGTTGAAATCATTCCTTCGAAAATTAAACGTACATGAACGTTATGGAATATATCTGTTCCAATTGTCATAACCACTATCTTGTCCTCTTTTCCTCGAATGTGAAATCACTGAATTAGACTTATTACTTAATTTATCCTTATATGAGTAACAAGGCCGGTGCCACAGGTGGAGCAGGATCTGCTTATCTTTCCAGAGCACCTGATATTAACCCCCAGTTTTGTTGGGATTAGCTTTGCTCAGTCTTAAGTTTTCTTTGTAGTGTTTTGACTATTTTCCGTTGTTTGCCATGGCTTAGTCAGTTTATCTTTAACTTGAGTTTGCATATATATCCCTTTGGTATCTTCCACCTCTCTTTTGCTATTGTTGGAAATTCAAAATGCAGTGCTTTCATCTGCTTTATTTATATAACATTGGTACATTTTTTTTCATCTTAAAACTTAAATTTTATGACAACAGCTATCATGAATTAAATCTTTTTAGATTTTCATTTAAATATCACTAGTACATTTTCTACAAAAGATATATCCTGAATTTTCATTTTTTATATTTTCATTAAGTATCACTTTTACATTTTTGTACTAATATTTTGTGAAGTAACAGAACAATTTTTGGTTACCGTTTTGTTTTCCTTTATATTTCCCTTCATACAGTCTGTAAGCCTTCATATGAGCTCTGATTAAATTGTGGCCAACAACATAGGTATTAGTACCAGGTCCAAATTTTCCCGGAGCAAATGAGTTAACTCCATATCCTAACCAAGCAACTATCCAGGGTTCATTAAATGTAATCCAAAGTTTAACCTAGAATAAGCATATAAATGTCATAAAAATCACTGAAGAAATAATAACATGTGATATGAAACAAAATACATGTTTACAATACTGTAAATTCAAAAATTCTTTGTGCATTAATATTATTCTTATGTTGGTTGAACAATGACATCAAATCAATTTAATCCAAACATATTTCTAATACAGAAATAGTTTTTTTTATATTTTTTAGCAGTTAGTTTTATCAAGCATACACAAAATGGAAGTTTATTTTTTCCCTAGTAAAAGTCTTTAAAAAAAAAAGACAGAGAGAGAAAAACAATTAAATTGCATCATCTTACTCTATCACCAAATCTTTCAAACAATAAACCAGCGTAGGCTTCATAGTAATCTGTGATAGAAGAGTTCAGCCATCCTCCATGGTTTTTCTCAAGTGCAGCAGGGAGATCCCAGTGATAAATGGTTATCATTGGTTTTATACCAGCATCCAGCAATCCATTTATTAGTTTGTTGTAATATTCGATACCTTCTTCATTGACATTGGGCAACTCTCCATCTGGCAATACTCGAGACCAGGATATTGAAAAACGATAGGACTTAACCTAAAATGCATATAACATATGTGTCTGATTCCATGAAAACCATAAAGACCAAATCATCTGTAATCATAATAAAAGGAACTTTTTGCTTCTAACATAGAGCCATTGATGTAATAAAAAAATCTGCATTTATATTTTTATGATTTTGTGTTAGGCCAAACAAAATTAGGTGTGTTTCTAGTAGCTTGACTGACCCTTATCTTTAGACTCTGACCCTTACTTTTTTTTACATAATTTTTTTTTTAATAAAAATCGGTAATTATGGGGTGATCTGAAAAAGTTCTTCCTTTTGAATGTCCTAAAATCATCAGGGTCTAATTAGCAAATTTTTGCAACCTGAATGGTTATAAAACAATTGCCGGCTGTACAACTAGTGTGTCCATAGTTCGGTTAATAAAATGCAATCATAAACCTGATGTACAAACTTTCATCACAGTTTCTACCTCAAAAACATTTGAACAACATTTCAAAGAACTTCATGATGAGATCAATGAAAAGAAAAAAAAGAAAAAAGATCCCACCCTAGTACCCTACCAAACCTATTTTTTGGGGGGATACAACAGGAAACACACTTATTTGGTTTTGCTTTATGATGGTATTATTTTTTAACTAACATTGGTATACTAACTTAACATTGGTCTACTAACTTAACATTGGTATACTAACTTGACATTGCTTTATGATGGTATTATTTTTTAACTGACATTGGTATACTAACTTAACATTGGTCTACTAACTTAACATTGGTATACTAACTTTACATTGCTTTATGATGCTATTATTTTATAACTGACATTGGTATACTATTAACTTAACATTGGTCTACTAACTTAACATTGGTATTCTAACTTAACATTGCTTTATGATGCTATTATTTTTTTTTTATGATGCTATTATTTTATAACTGACATTGGTATACTAACTTAACATTGGTCTACTAACTTAACATTGGTATTCTAACTTTACATTGCTTTATGATGCTATTATTTTTTAACTGACATTGGTATACTGACTTAACATTGCTTTTTTCACAACATTTACCCTGTACATCCTTCAGGAATTCAAATGAGACTGCTTGTCAGAATATCATGCAAAATTTCAAATTCTATCAAATGGAAAGAACTGCAAGCTTTTATTATACTACAAAATGGGGAGTTCAAAGTCTTGTTAACAGAAGATCTATATTTTCAAGACCTTTTTATTTTCTTTTAAGAATTTAGAATTTCCTTCAATGAGAAAATGAATCTGAATGTATCATCTGTCTGATGACTGTCTGAATGAACTTTGTTCTTTTAACAGATTGCGTTTTAGAGGCAAATGGACTCTCTTTGACAACATTTAGCTTTATTTTGTTGCTAAATGTAAAATATAACAAAGTAAAAAAATTGGTTATTGTGACAGGGTCATGAAATAACCATTCTTATTCCACACTTTCATGGTCAGGTGAACATGAACTTTTCTACAAATCTACATTTATTTTTTCAGGATTTTTTGTTTTGCTGTTAATCATTTTTAACTGACATTGAATGTGTAGAACTTAACATTGCTTTTTTTAACCATGTTTACATACTGGATATGAATACAAATACTTTATAAAACCAATTATCGTCCGATAAAGGGCATGTTACATATAATGATTATAAATAGGAATAAGTAAAGAAACAATAATGATAATGCTTATGATAATATGGATTTAACTATAGCAGTTGTCTTCTTATTGTAAAACATTTATAACAAATTAAAGCCAAAGTGTTTCATAGTTCTACATATTCACAAAAAAGAAGCCAAATAAATCTGTTTTCTGTATTTAGATTTTAAAAATTATTACATATTTTCAAAGCAGAATTTAACAATACTTGTCTTAGTTGTTCGAATGCTGGACATTCCATCAGAAATTGAATTTCATCTTCAATAGAATTTAAAAAACCAAATTAATAAATTCTTTTATCTTTGTCAATTTTTTTATAACTGCCCTGCTCAATAGCTAATTTATGATATGCACAGTAAGATGACAACTTTAAAGTTTACCAAAAAATGTTCATAAAACAGTATGCAATGTATCAAAATTTATGGCAATAAATTCCACATTTTATCTCTAAAATGAGAGTGTAATGCATTGGTGTAGATTATAAATCTTGCAATTGTAGACTTGAAAAAAAAAGCTAAAGAGCCTATGTTGCTCACCTGCATCTTCAACAATGGCCAATTTCTAGTAAAAATCATCATAAAAGGGAAACAACTCTATTAAGAGTTAATTGCCAATTTCAGTCATGTTGACATGTTTGTAGATCTTATCCTGCTGATAGTTTTTCCTTTTTAAAGTTTTTATTTATCTATTATATTTCAAGATAATAGGTAACAAATGCATAAAATTGTTAAAATTACCATTTAAAGGCAATAACTCAAATTACTAGTCAACTGAAGATTTTGGCCATTATGGTACATTTGTAGAAATTGTCTTGCTGATCATTTGTGCTATTGAAAGTTTCTATCAATTTATTACAGTTTTCAAGTTAATAGGCAAATATGGGGAAAATCATCATTAGAGGGCAATAACTTCAATAAGTAGTCGACTAACGATTAGGATTATGTTGACTCATTTGTAGATCCTGTCATGCAGATCATTTTTGCTATTGAAAGTTTCTATCTATCTATTATAGTTTTTAAGATATTAGGCACATACCAAAAAAAATGGTAAAAATCATCATTAAAGGGCAATAACTCTAATAAGGAGTCAACTGAAGATTTCGGCGATGTTGACTAATTTGTAGAACCTGTCATGCAGATCATTTTGGCTTGTAAAAGATTTTCTTTATCTATTATAGTTTTTAAGATATTAGGCAATAATGCAAATTGGTAAAAATCTTTATTAAAGGGCAACAACTCTAATAAGGAGTCGTCTGATGATTTTGGTCATGTTGACTTATTTGTAGATCTTGTCTTGCTAATCATTTTTGCTTTTTAAAGTGTCTATCTATCTATTATAATTTTCGAAATAATAGGCAAAATTTTCAAAAATGGTAAAATTTGTCTTTAAAGGGCAATAACTCCTATGAGAAGTCGTCTGATAGTTTTGACTCAAATAGACAATAGGTGGAGCTCAACATTCTGAAAATTTTTCATCTTTTAGATTTTCTCTATTTAAAGCTGTTTTCAAAATAATAGGCAAAACTTGCATTTTACCCCATGTTCTATTTTTAGCCATGTCAGCCATCTTGGTTGACAGCCAGGGTCATCGGACACATTTTTAAACTAGATAACCAAACAATGATTGTGGCCAAGTTTGGTTAAATTTGGCCCAGTTGTTTCAGAGGAGAAGATTTTTGTAAAAGTTAATGGATGACGACGGACAACAAGTGAGCCAAGTGAGCTTTAAATGTGTTTACTAAATCTGAGTACTTGTTGAAGAATACAAACACAAAACATTTCAGCATTGCAGAGCAGATATATATAAAATATGTTCATTGCCTGAATCTGCGGAATAGGAAAATTAGAAATTTACTTACCCCCATCTCTTTCAGTATTTTGATGTCATCTTTATATTTGTGGTAACTATCACAGGCCACGTCACCAGTAGCATTGTTAACTATTCTGTTTCCCATATGAGTGAAGTCATCCCAAATACTAGCACCTCTACCTATACCAAAAAGAGGTTTTCCCAAAAAAAAAATTTAAATGAGACAGATCTAAGCTGAAATACAATTATCATATTTATTTCTACAAACTAATGCTCAGTATAAAATGTTTAAAAGTCATCCAATGTCAACCTGTATGTTACTTGTGATTAGAGACATTTTCCACTCACATTTATTTTTCTGTTGTTATTAATTTGTTAAAATAAACGTCACATATGAAATAATAGACTAATTTTGTCACAAATAAAATTTGATAAATAAAGTGATAAAAACTAAAACTAAAATCTCAATGTAAAACTTGACTGGCATGGGACATCAGTGACAATTACATTCTATTATCAGAAACCTTCTTTAAGATCTTTTGTTTTTTTTAAGCATTATTTATATAACAGGGTAATAGTTTATTCCAGAATAAACTGTTGACACCGAGATATTCTAGCATGTCCACATAAAATTCAGAAAAAGTCAATCTGAGGGATAGAAACATTGCTTATTAATTCAAAGTCGCTGGACAATGATCTTGTGGGCAGGGCCTCGAAATGGTTGACAAACTGATATGTTCTGTTAGTAATGCAACTTTATACACAATATCATTAATCTGTCACAATTCAAGTAGTTCTTATCAAACTGACTTAAGCAGAAAACTTAATAATTGTTGACGCCGGAGTCGGAGCCGTAGTCGCCAGAAAAGCAATCCCTATGTCTTGTTTTCTGCGACTTTCATTGCAGCGAGACAAAAATCATAAGAATAGCATGGAAATTGGTATCATTACCCCCTTCATCCCAGCCTCCTTCTATCTGATATGCAGATGTAGCTGAACTCCATTCAAAATCATCTGGGAAAACACCATAGTAAAACTCATCTTCATATGATGGTGCTGTCCCACGTCCTCCATCACCACGGTAACCAGGAATATAGCCATTCTCTGTTACAAGTTGTTTGTAAAACTGAAAAGAGTCTTTTGGTGTTCTTGTTCTTTCAGGGCTACTAAAATTTACTTGGACCATACCAAATTTTGGATAATATCCTTCAATCCATTCAAAATTGTCCATCATTGACCAAACAGAATATCCAATAACATCACATTTGTCAATTGTGATAGCTGAAAAATACACAAATCTTACATCATAATACACAAATAATAGGAAGCATGACGTCAGATTGAAGGCCAGACATGGCTACAGGAATTATTGGGAAATCATCAGAAAGTTATTCAATGCAATGAAAAACAATCAACAAACAAAACCAAATGAAAAAACTCACGAATTGAATAGCAAATGGGCTGAATCTAATTGTATTATTACATTTTTTCTTTCTAATTTCAGGACTCAATATGTGTAATGGGTCTTCAACCTATATCTGGACCTTGGGCTTAATCCCTCAGTCTTAGGAGGATACCAGGGCCTATGATTCCCCTTCCCCCTACAGAAAAAAATAGTATTAAAGACTATTAAAGTCAAGATTTAGATTGAAGTTATAAAGTCAGAGCTTCATGACCCCAAAATAAAAATAGATGTGAAGTTTCAGTTGACAAATAATACAATGGCAGAAAAATAGTATGAAATAAGTATGTTATTGAGTTATCATCAGAGTAGATGGGTACAGCTTACATTTATTCTTGTACCTATGTACTAAAATAAAGTAATTATATAAAATTGCAATTCTGTTTTAAATATAAACAATACATATTCATACTCATGCTGCAGCAAAAAAGAAAAAGTCTGATAATACCTTTAAGAACTTCATTTGTATAAGCCCTGAGGAAATTGATTCTTCTGATATCATGTAGATTTCCATCATCGCACATTCCATTCTCAGTTATCATAACAGGTACATTATATTTGTATTTAATCCAGTTAAGGAGTTTTCGTAGTCCCCAAGGAGTCACTCTGAAGCCATCAAGGCAAGTTCTATAACAAAAATAATTCTTACTATGGGTGATACAAAAGTTGCAATCTATGACAATCAATATAATAAAGTCAAATATTATGTCAATGACAGATCTTTGATAGTCTCTGTTATGTCCATGACAGATCTTTGATAGTCTCTGTTATGTCAATGGCAGATCTTTGATAGTCTCTGTTATGTCAATGGCAGATCTTTGATAGTCTCTGTTATGTCAATGGCAGATCTTTGATAGTCTCTGTTTTGTCAATGGCAGATCTTTGATAGTCTCTGTTATGTCAATGGCAGATCTTTGATAATCTCTGTTATGTCAATGACAGATCTTTGATAGTCTCTGTTATGTCAATGGCAGATCTTTGATAGTCTCTGTTATGTCTATGGCAGATCTTTGATAGTCTCTGTTATGTCTATGGCAGATCTTTGATAGTCTCTGTTATGTCAATGGCAGATCTTTGATAGTCTCTGTTATGTCAATGGCCATACGGTTGCCTATAATTGCTTATATCCATGTCATTTGAACTTTGGTGGATAGTTGTCTCATTGGCAGTCATATCATATCTCCAATCTTTATAAAGGAAGATAAATTACAACTTACCAGTTGGAAGAAAATTAGTTTTGATGTAATTTTAACTGTTACTTTCAAAAACGAAGTCTTTGATTTATTTATTACCTTTGGTAACTTACTCATTGCGAAAAATTACTTAATCCTTTGTCTAAATATTTCATTACTTGATTTAAGGTCAGGGTCTACCATAGAACTAAGTCTGAGAGTGCTTGATCAACATTTATTTTAATAATCAAATTAAGCCATTCAATGAATAAACATGAAAACAAGCGTTTATCAGGTCACAGTCTGTATCCCCCATCTTGCATCAATGCATAATAATGATTTTAATATGTTGAAAGGCATCTTCAATGGATTCATGTTTGTAACCACAAACCCTTTACGTGATTCAGGCCAAGCTTGGTTTGAACTGGCCTAGTTGTTTCAGAGAAGATTTGAAAATTTACTTTTCCTGAATGCTAATTAATGACTTTAGCTACAAAACAAAATTAGCAAAATGACCAACATCATAATTCTTCATCTCAGAATTGGAATTTTTATTTGTGTCTTTTCTATCACATATTTCTATAAAATCTATGTTTAGAATAAAATGAATATAATTATAAACTTACTTATCCCACTTTGGATCATATTCCCGACGTACACCCATGTCTTTGTCATAATCTGTCTTAGGTTCTATATCTCCTACTGGTGATGCCAGGTGGGAACTATACATGTTAACACTGAAAAAGTCAGACGTTCCTGAAATGATATAGAGACTAATTATACCTTGTATTGTCAAATAACTGGTTATGCATCTGTATTTGAATGACTGATATAATAGATATTCCTACTAACTGGTAGACATCTAGATAAAGCAAATGAAATTGATATAACTTCCAACAGTTAAACACCTAGATAAAGCATCGAGATTCATATAACATTCCTTATGCTGAACACCTAGATAAAGCATTGAGATTCATATGACATTCCAGCAGTTAAACACCTAGATAAAGCACTGAGATTCATATGACATTCCAACAGTTAAACACCTAGATAAAGCACTGAGATTCATATAACATTCCTTATGCTGAACACCTAGATAAAGCATTGAGATTCATATGACATTCCAACAGTTAAACACCTAGATAAAGCACTGAGATTCATATGACATTCCAACAGTTAAACACCTAGATAAAGCACTAAGATTCTGTGTATTACTGTTGGAATGTCATATACATTCCAACAGTAATACACCCAGAGAAAACTTGGTATTTGATATAATATTCCAGCATTCAAACACCTAGATAAAGCATTGAGATTCATATAACATTAGAACAGTTAAATGCCTACATTTGTTGATAAAGCATTGAAATTCAAATAACATTCCAACAGCTAAACATCTAGATAAAGCATTGAGATTCACATAATATTCCAACAGCTACCATCTAGGAAAAGCATTGAGATTTACATAACATTCCAACAGCTGCCACCTAGATAAAGCATTGAAATTCAAATAACATTCCAACAGCTAAACATCTAGATAAAGCATTGAGATTCATATGACATTCCAACAGTTAACACCTAGTATATAAAGCATTGAGATTCATATGACATTACAACAGCTAACCTCCTACAGAAAACTTGGTGATTGATATAACATTCCAGCAGTGAAACACCTAGATAAAGCATTGAGATTCATACAACATTACAACAGTTAAATGTCTATATTTGTAGATAAAGCATTGAAATTCAAATAACATTCCAACAGCTAAACATCTAGATAAAGCATCAAGATTCATATAATATTCCAACAGCTACCACCTAGGAAGAGCATTGAGATTTATATAACATTCCAATAGCTGCCACCTAGATAAAGCATTGAGATTCATATAACATTCCAACAGCTAACACCTAGATAACATTTACTTACATAATCAAAAATAAGAGGGCTGCCTCAATGCAGAGCAAGATCTGCTTACCCTTGATCACCTAGAGGTTTCGTTTGGGTTATTGTTACTCAGTCTAGTTTTTTATGTAGTGTTTTCATCTTTCTATTGTTTTTTATGATAGGATTTTCATGTGTCAGTTTCTCTTGGATTTATAAGTTTTGAATAGAAATCATAAAGTATCACATTCTTAATTTTACAATAATGTTATTTATAGAGCTTATAATGAACTAGACTACTTATTGGTCCTCTGGGAAAATCTTATTCTTTAAGGTTATCAATTTAATATTGCAGTAGGATATTTGAATATGTTCTTGATCAATATTTATTGATTTTATTTCCAATAGTTAAATACATAACTAGGCATGTCCTGCTATCCAATGAATTTTACATATTGTCCGATTTTCTGTCCATGCTTAATATTTTATCTTTACACAAGATCATGCTTTTCTAAAACTTCTTATGATGTCTTCACACTAAATCCATTAGAGGTGTACTGATTAATATTCTAATCAGTGATAACATGGTATATTTATCAGCTGAAATTGGGCTTTGAACTAGCTTTTAGTAGCTTTAAGTACTCTTAGATTGATACTTTGTGTCTTTTGTCTTTTTGTTATTTGATTTTTAGATTAGTACTATTATGATGAGTTATGCCCTTTCAAAATGATTTGTAGTTTGTTCTTATTTATTACTGTCCCAATCCAGGACAGTAATCCAGTGGTTGTAGTTAGTTGCTATCTGCCATAATGTCTTTTCATTTATTGCTGTAGTATTAATCATGCCGCTTTGAATTCTTATTTCATCATTTCGGTCCCTTTATAGCTTATAATGTGGTATGGGTTTTGCTTATTGCTTAAATCTGTATGATTACCTGCAATTGTTACCATCTTTGCCCTTTTGAACTTAAATGGATAGTTCTCTCATTGGCAAGCATCCAGTATCTCCTTATTACTAAACAGAAATTATAAGTTGTGAGCACATCTCACAGGTATCAATATAAGACTAACATCAAAAGTGAGCAAACACTGCAAATCTAATATAAAGAAGAAACTTGAACTTGAATAGGGAAAGTTGGTAATATGACTTTCTTCTTCTATCAAAGGACATACGAATTTCATAATCTATGAAAATGACATACCATAAATTTTGACTTTCTGTTCATGGGTAAAATCTTGAAGTACCATTGTAACTATATTTTTCTGTATATTCATTTTATTTCTTTCTTTCATTATGTCTGGATAGTCACCATTTACATAGATAGGATGAGCAAACCAACCCAGCCGGAACTGTAAAGCTGTTTCTGCTGCTTCTATATCTCTGGGATCACTAGGACTCTTAGGCTCATACCATGCAGAGTTTAGTACAATAGATACCTGTCCTAAAATCAATTCAAACAGTTAAATTAAAACAACATATATCCATCCCCTCGTATATCAAAATTTCATATTCCCCCTTGAAGCATTTTATTGAAAATATATAGGGATAGATATGATGTATAACTGATCATTTGCTCTAACCTCAAAATAAATTTGTAACAAATTACCAATAAGGACATAAATAATAAATTTTACAAAAGTTACTCATTCATAGAGCATTCATAGAGCATTTCTAATCACTTAAATGTACATACCCATTTAAGCACATTCTTAATTCAAAGAAATCAACTTTTTCAGTGTGGAAGATGAAATAACTTTTATTAAAAATAAAAAAGTATATGCTAAATAGCATGAAGTTTTCATTGCTGGTCAAAGGGGAGTTATAAACAAGATATTCTTAACCTATAGCTGAATACTGCAAGTTCAGATCTTTTTTGCAATGTTTTTGTTTTTAAAAAACGTGGCAGAAAATAAAACATGTTATAAAGTAATTGACATGATTTTTAAAAAAAACAAATAAACCACCGATGTAAGCAACTTAAACTATAGTAAACCAACTGACTTTAGCAAGTAGGAAAATAACATGTATATAAATTGCTGTGAATATGTAAAACTTGAATCTTTCCTTAATCAACTACATCAAATAAATTTGAAAATCTAATATTAAATCGCCACAAAGTGTGCTATAAAGGGCAAACTAAAGTATCCGTGAAATAAGTTGGTTCACTGTCATCAAAGTTTTTCTATTACATTATTGCATTTTAACAATGCCTTCCTTGTGTATCTAACACATTACTGGAACAGCCCTTACCAATTTCTCAAACAACAACATAGACAAAATTCTTACCGTTTTGTGATGCTCTGTAGGTGTCATTGTATAAGTGATAGGCTTCTGCATGAGCTAACAACATATTACGAGCTAGAACATAGGTGTGTGGTTGTCCAGGTGCTGTCAGATTCGTTGTCTGCTGCATTGGTTCGTTCATTGTAAACCAATACTTCACCTACATTTACATAAAGTAGATCTATTGTACTTTTCACCATAATTTATCAACTATCAAGGTCTATTTAATAATAAAACATTCGCATCAAAACAAAATGGAGTTATGGTAGACATACAACATTGAGAAATTTGCCGAAAATAGAGATTCATGATCAAAGTAATTTGTAATTGAAAATATGAGATAAGCATGGAAAATCCAATTTTACAGGAGAATTCACTATAAGCAAATGTGGTCAGTAGAAAGACCCAATAGAGGGTACACAACACAGAATCAAACATAGAAATGACAAAACAAAATAAGATAAGACATACAAACTGCTACAACAAGCATAAAAAATGTATTGCATACATTACACCAATCATTTTTTGAATATTGATCAATTATGTATTCATCTATAAACTGGTTTTCAGGGGATAACATTCAAAATTTGTGAGAAATTTTAAATAAGTTCTATTAGAACAATCAATTATCCCTTTCCTGTATCATCAACTTAAAATAGAAATTCTCACAAGTTTACATATTAACTTTTAAAAATCTGATGATTCTACTAATTGATTATCAAAAATCATCAGAAAAAAAGAGCATGTCAGGCAAATGAAATGAATACTATCAAATATTAAAAAGAAGTTAAAGTTATTTAAACTAATTTTGTATATTAATAATTAAAATTGACAACAACACTTCAAAAGATCTGCAATTTTATTATCTATGTCTACATGTTTCGCCTGCAAGGCAGGCTTCATCAGGACAATTTTTATACAGAATTTAATCCCTGAAGTACTCAAAGTGGTGCAAGAAATTTGACGTCGTCATGGTGAGAGAAACAATGAAAAGTGAAAGTAGCAATACAGAGTTATAAATAGATAAGATAAATATAGAAAATTAAAGTTTGTTTACAATGTAACTTGAGTTTGTTTTACTATTATATGATACATGAAATTGTTCTAATGGCTTGGTATCTAATTGGACGAACTTCCCATGGTTCCTACCACTTCGCAAGGCTTCTCTTCCAACCTGGCCATTGTTGGAGGTTACTACTTCCTGGCGCGTCGGCAACACATAGGAAGATTATGGTCGCCGCTATGTAAAATAAAATTGTCAAAAAATGTTCCCTTGTTAATTATTTGGTGACTCTCTATAATTTTTGGATCGTCTGCAGTAGTTGGTCTGTTTAATAGCATGGTTGTGAATTCCTAGTTCATTTAAGATCGGCGCCCGTGGTACGTTTTTTTTCTGCTAACAGTTATATCTATATGTTAAGGTGGTATCGGATTTCTTGGTCATCTTGGTTCAGTTGTTATTTCGTCGCAAGTATGGAATATTCCTTGGTCCATGTATATGCTGGTGGCCTGTAGATTGGCGCGTGTAGCAAGGCGGTTCCTTTCGGATGCAGGGGTTCACGATTAAATAATAAATTAAATTCCGTGTGGTGAACCAACGCCTGTGAAATCGTTTTGGTAGAGTCCCTGAAGTGGATACCTTGGTATGCCGGGTTGTCAAATCATGCAAATGAATGCAATCCTTAAATAATAATTAAAATTGACAACAACACTTCAAAAGATCTGCAATTTTATTATCTATGTCTACATGTTTCGCCTGCAAGGCAGGCTTCATCAGGACAATTTTTATACAGAATTTAATCCCTGAAGTACTCAAAGTGGTGCAAGAAATTTGACGTCGTCATGGTGAGAGAAACAATGAAAAGTGAAAGTAGCAATACAGAGTTATAAATAGATAAGATAAATATAGAAAATTAAAGTTTGTTTACAATGTAACTTGAGTTTGTTTTACTATTATATGATACATGAAATTGTTCTAATGGCTTGGTATCTAATTGGACGAACTTCCCATGGTTCCTACCACTTCGCAAGGCTTCTCTTCCAACCTGGCCATTGTTGGAGGTTACTACTTCCTGGCGCGTCGGCAACACATAGGAAGATTATGGTCGCCGCTATGTAAAATAAAATTGTCAAAAAATGTTCCCTTGTTAATTATTTGGTGACTCTCTATAATTTTTGGATCGTCTGCAGTAGTTGGTCTGTTTAATAGCATGGTTGTGAATTCCTAGTTCATTTAAGATCGGCGCCCGTGGTACGTTTTTTTTCTGCTAACAGTTATATCTATATGTTAAGGTGGTATCGGATTTCTTGGTCATCTTGGTTCAGTTGTTATTTCGTCGCAAGTATGGAATATTCCTTGGTCCATGTATATGCTGGTGGCCTGTAGATTGGCGCGTGTAGCAAGGCGGTTCCTTTCGGATGCAGGGGTTCACGATTAAATAATAAATTAAATTCCGTGTGGTGAACCAACGCCTGTGAAATCGTTTTGGTAGAGTCCCTGAAGTGGATACCTTGGTATGCCGGGTTGTCAAATCATGCAAATGAATGCAATCCTTAAATAATAATTAAAATTGACAACAACACTTCAAAAGATCTGCAATTTTATTATCTATGTCTACATGTTTCGCCTGCAAGGCAGGCTTCATCAGGACAATTTTTATACAGAATTTAATCCCTGAAGTACTCAAAGTGGTGCAAGAAATTTGACGTCGTCATGGTGAGAGAAACAATGAAAAGTGAAAGTAGCAATACAGAGTTATAAATAGATAAGATAAATATAGAAAATTAAAGTTTGTTTACAATGTAACTTGAGTTTGTTTTACTATTATATGATACATGAAATTGTTCTAATGGCTTGGTATCTAATTGGACGAACTTCCCATGGTTCCTACCACTTCGCAAGGCTTCTCTTCCAACCTGGCCATTGTTGGAGGTTACTACTTCCTGGCGCGTCGGCAACACATAGGAAGATTATGGTCGCCGCTATGTAAAATAAAATTGTCAAAAAATGTTCCCTTGTTAATTATTTGGTGACTCTCTATAATTTTTGGATCGTCTGCAGTAGTTGGTCTGTTTAATAGCATGGTTGTGAATTCCTAGTTCATTTAAGATCGGCGCCCGTGGTGCGTTTGACAACCCGGCATACCAAGGTATCCACTTCAGGGACTCTACCAAAACGATTTCACAGGCGTTGGTTCACCACACGGAATTTAATTTATTATTTAATCGTGAACCCCTGCATCCGAAAGGAACCGCCTTGCTACACGCGCCAATCTACAGGCCACCAGCATATACATGGACCAAGGAATATTCCATACTTGCGACGAAATAACAACTGAACCAAGATGACCAAGAAATCCGATACCACCTTAACATATAGATATAACTGTTAGCAGAAAAAAAACGTACCACGGGCGCCGATCTTAAATGAACTAGGAATTCACAACCATGCTATTAAACAGACCAACTACTGCAGACGATCCAAAAATTATAGAGAGTCACCAAATAATTAACAAGGGAACATTTTTTGACAATTTTATTTTACATAGCGGCGACCATAATCTTCCTATGTGTTGCCGACGCGCCAGGAAGTAGTAACCTCCAACAATGGCCAGGTTGGAAGAGAAGCCTTGCGAAGTGGTAGGAACCATGGGAAGTTCGTCCAATTAGATACCAAGCCATTAGAACAATTTCATGTATCATATAATAGTAAAACAAACTCAAGTTACATTGTAAACAAACTTTAATTTTCTATATTTATCTTATCTATTTATAACTCTGTATTGCTACTTTCACTTTTCATTGTTTCTCTCACCATGACGACGTCAAATTTCTTGCACCACTTTGAGTACTTCAGGGATTAAATTCTGTATAAAAATTGTCCTGATGAAGCCTGCCTTGCAGGCGAAACATGTAGACATAGATAATAAAATTGCAGATCTTTTGAAGTGTTGTTGTCAATTTTAATTATTATTTAAGGATTGCATTCATTTGCATGATTTGACAACCCGGCATACCAAGGTATCCACTTCAGGGACTCTACCAAAACGATTTCACAGGCGTTGGTTCACCACACGGAATTTAATTTATTATTTAATCGTGAACCCCTGCATCCGAAAGGAACCGCCTTGCTACACGCGCCAATCTACAGGCCACCAGCATATACATGGACCAAGGAATATTCCATACTTGCGACGAAATAACAACTGAACCAAGATGACCAAGAAATCCGATACCACCTTAACATATAGATATAACTGTTAGCAGAAAAAAAACGTACCACGGGCGCCGATCTTAAATGAACTAGGAATTCACAACCATGCTATTAAACAGACCAACTACTGCAGACGATCCAAAAATTATAGAGAGTCACCAAATAATTAACAAGGGAACATTTTTTGACAATTTTATTTTACATAGCGGCGACCATAATCTTCCTATGTGTTGCCGACGCGCCAGGAAGTAGTAACCTCCAACAATGGCCAGGTTGGAAGAGAAGCCTTGCGAAGTGGTAGGAACCATGGGAAGTTCGTCCAATTAGATACCAAGCCATTAGAACAATTTCATGTATCATATAATAGTAAAACAAACTCAAGTTACATTGTAAACAAACTTTAATTTTCTATATTTATCTTATCTATTTATAACTCTGTATTGCTACTTTCACTTTTCATTGTTTCTCTCACCATGACGACGTCAAATTTCTTGCACCACTTTGAGTACTTCAGGGATTAAATTCTGTATAAAAATTGTCCTGATGAAGCCTGCCTTGCAGGCGAAACATGTAGACATAGATAATAAAATTGCAGATCTTTTGAAGTGTTGTTGTCAATTTTAATTATTATTTAAGGATTGCATTCATTTGCATGATTTGACAACCCGGCATACCAAGGTATCCACTTCAGGGACTCTACCAAAACGATTTCACAGGCGTTGGTTCACCACACGGAATTTAATTTTGTATATGTACACATGTGCTTCTAGAAGGTCTATGTCATTGCTTGTGACATGAGTAAACATTATTGCATAATGAATGAGCTCTGGTCTAACAGAAGACAATAAAGAGCTGCACCATGAGAGCATGATACACCAATTGTCCTTTTAGCTCATATATAAGCTTTAACTGAATTTATATGATCAACTAGAAATACTATGATTTTCAACATTTTTTAAATAATAAAATTCCATAACCCCGCATTATGTCATATCAGAAATTTATAAAAAAAAAAAAAAGGGAGCTTATTTCAATAGGTATAAACATGTCACCAAAAAAGCATTTTTATGTTATTGTCCGAAAACTAGAAAATCCCACCTTTTTTCAGAATAAAGTCCCAATTATCCAAAACATAAAATCAGAAAATTTTTTAAATCGAAAGGGAACTTATGTCAATATATGAACAATTCACCAAAGTTTCATGAAAATTACTCAAAGCATTTTTGAGTTAAAGCCAGAAAACTGGAAAATCACCCATTTTTTATGAATAAAATCCCATAACTGGGAACCGTAAAATCTTAAATTTATAAAAATTGAAAGGGAGCTTGCGTCAATAGATATAAATAATTCACCAAAGTTTCATGAAAGTTGGTGATAGCATTTTTGAGTTATTGTCCGAAGTGTTGACTTCGGATGGACAACTGTATACCATAAACGTCCCGTCTTAGACAGGCGCATAAAAACAATAGGGTTTATGCTCTAAATTACATTCAATGGAGTCCTGAAACTGATAAAAAACATATTTTTACATTGATGTTTTCAATCTTAACACATTTGTACAGCTTTTCAGTTTTCAGCTCCAAACAGAACTTTCGTAGATACTGCGCATGCATGCCTCTTGACACAGAAGTTGTTACTAATAGTGCAATCTTAATTTAAAAACAGCATTTAATGTAGGGCTACAAACCTTATTTCCAAACTTCTTAAAGCAGACATCAGCATAACGCTTGAAATGCTGGATTGTATTTTCATTTGCCCATCCTCCAATTCTCTCTAGTTCAAGTGGGATATCAAAATGATACAGTGTTACCATTGGTGTGATACCTGCTGCCAGCAACCCATCTATAAGTCTATTGTAATAATCTATTCCTGGCTGGTTTGGTATTAGATCACTACCATTGGGGAATATTCTAGTCCAAGCTATAGAAAATCTATAAGCTGATACCTGAAATAGACATTGTATTGAACTAAAAGTGCACCAAATTTACATGCAGTATTGTTATCGTTTGCTGTTACACCTTCCAAGGATATGTGAAAGGTAAAGCTAAAACAAACATCTTAATCTTCAGTTTTTTTTAATCTTGTTTGTGGACTGTTATTTGTAAAAGCGCTTCATACTTATATGAGAACATGATAAGTGCTTTTAGGTTAGCAGCTGATAATTTACGATCTCTTTGTGCAGAAATTGCAATCAGCTGATTATTTTATTGATTTTCTGTAAATCGATACACGTGATGAGTTCAAGGTGAAATCTGAGTATTGTTTGATCAGGGAAAAGTCAAGAGAAATCTAAAACAAAATTAAGAAGATGGACAATCTAAAACAAAATTAACAAGATGGACTAAGTCAAACTATTATATTTTTTACAGAAGTTGAATATCTTCATTACATATGTGGCAACTGTAATAACCTTTAGATCAGAAAGAAGTTTTATATCTTCATATAAAATGGTAACTATAATTACCTGAAGTTCAGACAGAAGTTGTATATCTTCATTATATCTATGGTAACTATAATTACCTTTAGTTCAGACAGAAGTTGTCTATCTTCATTATATCTATGGTAACTGTAATTACCTTAAGTTCAGACAGAAGTTGTATATCTTCATTATATCTATGGCAACTGTAATTACCTTTAGATCAGAGAGAAGTAATATATCTGCATTATATCTATGGCAACTGTAATTACCTTTAGATCAGGGCTGTTCCAGAAAATACTATGTCCCCCCCAGGGAAGGCAATTTTCTTTTAATTTTATGTGGGTGGTTGTATTTGAAATACCAAAATGCAAAGGGAGTGCTGTTCTAATTTATTTTTACTTCTGTGGGTGGTGGCAGTCAAAATAAAGTGCCGTCCCTAGGGGGGGGGGGCATAGTATTTTCTGGAACAGCCCTGAGACAGACAGAAGTTATATATCTGCTTTATATCTATAGTAACTGTAATTACCTGAAGTTCACACAGAAGTTGTCTATCTTCATTATATCTATGGTAACTGTAATCACCTTTAGTTCAGACAGAAGTTGTCTATCTTAATTATATCTATGGTAACTGTAACAACCTTTAGTTCAGACAGAAGTTGTCTATCTTCATTATATCTATGGTAATTGTAAATACCTTCAGGTCAGACAGAAGTTGTCTATCTTCATTATATCTATGGTAACTGTAATCACCTTTAGTTTGACAGAAGTTGTCTATCTTAATTATATCTATGGTAACTGTAACAACCTTTAGTTCAGACAGAAGTTGTATATCTTCATTATATCTATGGTAATTGTAAATACCTTCAGGTCAGACAGAAGTTGTAAAGCTTCATTATATCTATGGTAACTGTAATTACCTTCAGGTCAGACAAAAGTTGTATATCTTCATTATATCTATGATAACTGTAATTACCTTCAGATCTGACAGAAGTTGTATATCTTCATTATATCTATGGTAACTGTAAATACCTTTAGATCAGACAGAAGTTGTATATCTTCATTATATCTATGGTAACTGTAACAAGATTTAGTTCAGACAGTAGTTGTCTATCTTCATTATATCTATGGTAACTGTAATCACCTTTAGTTTGACAGAAGTTGTCTATCTTAATTACATCTATGGTAACTGTAACAACCTTTAGTTCAGACAGAAGTTGTATATCTTCATTATATCTATGGTAATTGTAAATACCTTCAGGTCAGACAGAAGTTGTAAAGCTTCATTATATCTATGGTAACTGTAATTACCTTCAGGTCAGACAAAAGTTGTATATCTTCATTATATCTATGATAACTGTAATTACCTTCAGATCAGACAGAAGTTGTATATCTTCATTATATCTATGGCAATTGTAATTACCTTCAGGTCAGACAGAAGTTGTATATCTTCATTATATCTATGGTAACTGTAATTACCTTCAGGTCAGACAAAAGTTGTATATCTTCATTATATCTATGGTAACTGTAAATACCTTTAGATCAGACAGAAGTTGTATATCTATGGTAACTGTAAATACCTTTAGATCAGACAGAAGTTGTATATCTTCATTATATCTATGGTAACTGTAACAAGATTTAGTTCAGACAGAAGTTGTCTATCTTCATTATATCTATGGTAACTGTATTTACCTTCAGGTCAGACAGAAGTTGTAAAGCTTCATTATATCTATGGTAACTGTAACAACCTTTAGTTCAGACAGAAGTGGTCTATCTTCATTATATCTATGGTAACTGTAATTACCTTCAGGTCAGACAGAAGTTGTATATCTTCATTATATCTATGGCAACTGTAATTACCTTTAGATCAGAGAGAAGTTATATATCTGCATTATATCAATGGCAACTGTAATTACCTTTAGATCAGGGCTGTTCCAGAAAATACTATGTCCCCCCCCAGGGAAGGCAATTTTCTTTTAATTTTATGTGGGTGGTTGTATTTGAAATACCAAAATGCAAAGAGAGTGCTGTTCTAATTTATTTTTACTTCTGTGGGTGGTGGCAGTCAAAATAAAGTGCCGTCCCTAGGGGGGGGGGGGGGCATAGTATTTCTGGAACAGCCCTGAGACAGACAGAAGTTATATATCTGCTTTATATCTATAGTAACTGTAATTACCTGAAGTTCACACAGAAGTTGTCTATCTTCAATATATCTTTGGTAACTGTAATCACCTTTAGTTCAGACAGAAGTTGTCTATCTTAATTATATCTATGGTAACTGTAACAACCTTTAGTTCAGACAGAAGTTGTCTATCTTCATTATATCTATGGTAATTGTAAATACCTTCAGGTCAGACAGAAGTTGTAAAGCTTCATTATATCTATGGTAACTGTAATTACCTTCAGGTCAGACAAAAGTTGTATATCTTCATTATATCTATGATAACTGTAATTACCTTCAGAAGTTGTATATCTTCATTATATCTATGGTAACTGTAATTACCTTTAGATCAGACAAAAGTTGTATATCTTCAGTATATCTATGGTAACTGTAACAACCTTTAGTTCAGACAGAAGTTGTCTATCTTCATTATATCTATGGTAACTGTAATTACCTTCAGGTCAGACAAAAGTTGTATATCTTCAGTATATCTATGGTAACTGTAACAACCTTTAGTTCAGACAGAAGTTGTCTATCTTCATTATATCTATGGTAACTGTAAATACCTTTGGATCAGACAGAAGTTGTATATCTTCATTATATATATGGTAACTGTAAATACCTTTAGATCAGACAGAAGTTGTATATCTTCATTATATCTATGGTAACTGTAATTACCTTTAGATCAGACAGAAGTTGTATATCTTCATTATATCTATGGTAACTGTAAATACCTTTAGATCAGACAGAAGTTGTATATATTCATTATATCTATGGTAACTGTAATTACCTTCAGGTCAGACAGAAGTTGTATATCTTCATTATATCTATGGTAACTGTCACAAGCTATATCTCCTGTGTCCTTGTTCTTTACTATACCCAGATGAGATATGTAATCCCATAAACTTTCACCTGTACCTAAAATGTTTCAACCACATATTGAGTTTAATACCAATTGTAGTATTTGTACAATAAAATCAGTTCTGAACCAAAAACCATGTGCATTGTTTTTAAAAAGTTTTGAGTCACTTCAACTCTCTTATGCTAAACCTTGCTTTAATTTATTTTTAGATTGCTTGTAAAAATAAGAAAAATACTTTCACAAAAATACCCTGAGTTAATATTTAAAACATAACTATACCCAAATCTAGGAAAAATGTCAAAGCAAAATGAAACAAACCAGAACAACATAAAAACAGTTATAGCACAAAATTTAAAGTATAAGAGAAAAAGGACTATAGTCCAAATAAATTTGATGTCTTGAAAGGCTACTTTTATTTTTTTGCCCTTGGTGTCATGAATATTGTAATTTATATCTTAAAATTTGACGGACCTGAATTTCTTGATAATATATGAGCTGCGTCCGATAGAAATCGACCTTATGCAAGTGCATGTATACATGTACATTTATAAGACTTTGATTGATTTTGGAACATTCAAATACGAAATAAAAGATGAATTTTGGTCCGTTTTGTAGGGTTCTAATAGCAAATCAATTTTCAAACAGTTACAGACTTTGCATAGAGATTTTTTCTATCCGAAAAAGGTTAACAGATGTATTGATATTCTTTTGCATAAGGTTGATTTCTATATATCCTACACAGCTCATATATTGAACATTCTAGAAATTTGGGTCCATCAAATTTTACGGAGTTTGATATTTTATACTGTACAAAAGTGAAGGATCAAGAGAAATCAGGGAAACCATTTTAAAAATAAAGTAGGTAATTGCACATCTCAAATGGAATTGTAACTTATTTTATCATTACTTTTGGATATTTCTGGAAATATTGTTAACCAACAAGCACACAAAAGGTTTATATGCAACAGTCTACAGCCTTCAATGAAGATTTCATGGCAAAATTGGATCTCAAAGCTCTGCTGAAAATTCTCTCTCAAAGTCCAGACAAAAAAATGGCTTTGGCATTAATATTTAGTTGGAAACTCAGGTGTCAGAGCAAAAATTTTAATTAACCTTTCAAGACTTCAGAATTATTTGGACTAACATGATTCCAAACAATAACTTTTTAAACTTGAAAGTTCATCAAAGAAAGGACTTTTTTCACATCTCCAGCTAGTTACATAATATGAATACATACTCAACAATCTAGTTCTATAACTAAAATGTTTTTGTATAAGTTTTCTTTTTGCCTAAACAAATGTCATAACTCTTTGCAGCTTATCCACTTCTGGTAATTGAACTACTGATACACACAGTTGTATCACCTCAATTTGTTTACAATTGTCAACAACTCACCATCTTCATTCCAACCACCTTCTATCTGATATGCAGCTGTTGCAGTAAACCATTTAAAATGTTCAGGAAATTTTCCATACAGAAATGTGTTCTCATTGGCCACCATAGATGTTGATACTCCTCCTACACCTGGGTATCCTGGCTCAAAACCATGATCTTTTATCAACTGCTTGTAAAAATATGAAGAAAATTTTGGCATTCTTGGCAAAGTAGGATCAGAATAATTCACCATGCAAAATCCAAAGCTAAAATTGTAGCCATCAGTCCATTCAAAACTGTCAATCAATGAACGACCATAAAATCTTTTCAAGCTGGAAATTTTATCAACTTGTATTGCTGAAATATATAAAAAAAAAAATGTAGTTGTTTAGAACTGAATTTCCCATGGTATATATAATTCAGAGTTAGCAAAAAATCAAAATTCCTGAAAGCATGAACAAGATTGACTTCATCATGCTGCAGTAGATTATAAAATTCATTTGTTTTTTAAAAGTTAAATTTATGATTATTCCCCTTTGATAAGATGCCATATATGTATAAACATTATTTCAATATATTTTCAAGAAGTCTTAGCCAGATATCTTTAAATATTTAAATTTTCCTTGCTTTTTTGTTGTTGATTTTAAATGTTCTTTCCTTAATTCTGACTTAATGCTCTCTTTCAAATAAAAAAGCCTAAAATTACCTGTAGACTTGCAAAACCTTAAAAGTTGTTTTGAATTACTTCGAGAACTCAAATGTGGCCTAACAACTTTTATCTAAACATACTTGTACAGGAAAATGAATACATTGACAATAAAGAGCTGTGCCATGAGTGCATGATACACCGGTCGCTTTTTCAAAGAATAAAGTTCCATAACTCCTCAATGTCATATCAGAAATTTGTGAAAAACCAAAGAGAGGTTATTTCAATATATATAAACCAGTCACCAAAGTTTCATGAAAACTGCTCAAAGCACTTTTGAGTTATTGTCTGAAAACTGGAAAATCCTTTTTTATGAAAAAAATCCTACAACTCAGAAACGTAAATTCTAAAATTTATAAAAATTGAAAGGGAGCTCACGTCAATAGGTATAAACAATTCACCAAAGTTTCATGCAAATTGGTTAAAGCATTTTTGAGTTATTGTCCGACATTTTGACGACAGACAGATGGACAGACAGACGGACGGACGACAACGGTATACCATAATACGTCCCGTAAACAGGAGTATAATAATATAGAAAAAGAAAATGAATACATTGACAATATACAAAAACAGACATTGATTTTGATGTGCTATACCTTTCAGTAATTGATTAATGTGAGCTTTGTACCACTGGACAGTTTCTGTGTCCTGTAAAGACTGTTTTCCACTAGCTGGTCTACCAAGATACCCTGCCATATACATCACTGCTATTGGATATTCTTTACTAATCCATTTCAGGATTTTTCTTATACCAGATGCTGCTTCAGTATCAGATCTTTGAATAAAATGAAAAGAAATTAATATCACTGCCAAATGTTTATACCCTTTCAGTTGATACAAAATTATGGTGGATTACTTATAATTTTTTTAATTTATTCTAAAGGTAGCCTATAAATAAAGGAGAAGTAGGTGATACTTCAAGAAAAAAGAAACCCAAAGACAAATATAACCAAACCACATCTAGAGGCCAACATTACAGTCTTCAATAATTGGCAAGTGTTTATACAACATGTCAAGCTCTAAATTGTCCTTAGTCTACCAAATTGTGGTTTATACAAAATGTCAAACTCTAAATCATCCCTAGTCTACCAAGTTGTGGTTTATACAATATGTCAAACTCTTAATCATCCCTAGTCTACCAAGTTGTGTTTAATACAAAATGTCAAACTCTAAATCGTCCCTAGTCTACCAAGTTGTGGTTTATACAATATGTCACACTCTAAATCATCCCTAGTCTACCAAGTTGTTGTTTATACAACATGTCAAACTCTAAATCATCCCTAGTCTACCAAGTTGTGGTTTATACAACATGTCAAACTCTAAATCATCCCTAGTCTACCAAGTTGTGGTTTATAAAAAATGTCAAACTCTAAATCGTCCCTAGTCTACCAAGTTGTGGTTTATACAAAATGTCAAACTCTAAATCGTCCCTAGTCTACCAAGTTGTGGTTTATACAAAATGTCAAACTCTAAATCATTCCTAGTCTACCAAGTTGTGGTTTATACAAAATGTCAAACTGTAAATCATCCCTAGTCTACCAAGTTGTGGTTTATACAATATGTCAAACTCTCAGGGCTCACACTACTTCAGAATCATAGGGAGAAGTGACTTCTCTTTTTGAAACTGAGAGGGAGAATGGGTTATATTTGAAAGAGAAGTGCTTGTTCAACCGCGGCGCTACAATGTTTGATTTTACTATAATACAAAGGGCCATATGTATCTTCTTTTTTTATATTGTTCAATTTGTACCTGGGAGTACAATAAAAGTAACAGTTCAAATTCAAAGTTGTTTAATTTTATCATATCTTGTTGCACAATCATATTAGTCCTCTTGTCAGAAAAAAACAGTTTAATATCTAGCAATAATAAAAAAGATTTTTTTTATATCAAAAAGGAAAAGAATTAAGTTGTTATTTCAATTTAAAATGTACTCTGTTATGTTTGTGAAATTCAGTGGTTAAAATTCTCATTTAAAAGATATATAAATTTAACACAGTTAAGCTTGGACATAGTATAGTAGTCCCAGAGTTGAGCAATTTTAAATAATAAATTGGAACAATTCATATACATGGAAATATATACATTAATCAAGTAGATCTAACCAAAAGTATGTTAATGTGCGTGGAATGCGTAATTTTTCCTTTTGGGATCAATATTCCTCTGTCAGCTGTGCCATTCATTCTTCAGTAGTCATTATCGTAAGAATCCGGATTTCGGTCATAGCTGGTCCGGTTCCGATCAGTAGTTTAGTACAAATATTTCAATGGCAGACGAAGAAAAATTTACAAAAATAAACGATGTGTGATACGCTATTTTGAAAGGAATATGACGTTTTTAATGCAATACATGGATAACAAATTTACTTCAGGCAAATTTCATCACGTTCTAATGAAGTAACAAACTTATTTTGCCGAAAATTAGAATGATTTGATGTACGCTCTCTAACAAGTACCGGAAGTGATAAAAAATTGTTTTTATGAAATAACATGCAACCAACTTTAAAATCAACGCTTTATAATTTTGACTTGGATGGAGAGTTGTCTCATTGGCACTCATACCACATCTTCTTATATCTATTTAACTTCTTTTCTGAAGAAAATAAATGGTTTATGTCTTTGAATTTCTTTACTTTTTACTTAAAAATTGCTGTTTCATCCACTTGGTAAAAATTGAAAATTGCAGATGACGAAAGCAACTGAAAGCGAGTATCGTAAACAACAGGGCGACTAGATTTCGCTTTTGACAGTCGGGCAAAGCGAAGTGACGGCCCGTAAAGCGACTTTGTCGCCCCAGTTGCATGGTAGCGTGAGCCCTGACTCTAAATCATCCATAGTCTACCAAGTTGTGGTTTATACAATATGTCAAACTCTAAATCATCCCTAGTCTACCAAGTTGTGGTTTATACAACATGTCAAACTCTAAATCATCCCTAGTCTACCAAGTTGTGGTTTATACAACATGTCAAACTCTAAATCATCCCTAGTCTACCAAGTTGTGGTTTATACAACATGTCAAACTCTAAATCATCCCTAGTCTACCAAGTTGTGGTTTATATAACATGTCAAGCTCTAAATTGTCCTTGGTCTACCAAGTTGTGGTTTATACAATATGTCAAACTCTAAATCATCCCTAGTCTACCAAGTTGTGGTTTATACAAAATGTCAAACTCTAAATCATCCCTAGTCTACCAAGTTGTGGTTTATACAACATGTCAAACTCTAAATCATCCCTAGTCTACCAAGTTGTTGTTTATACAACATGTCAAACTCTAAATCATCCCTAGTCTACCAATTTGTGGTTTATACAACATGTCAAACTCTAAATCGTCCCTAGTCTACCAAGTTGTGGTTTATACAAAATGTCAAACTCTTAATCATCCCTAGTCTACCAAGTTGTGGTTTATACAAAATGTCAAACTATAAATCATCCCTAGTCTACCAAGTTGTGGTTTATACAACATGTCAAACACTAAATCATCCCTAGTCTACCAAGTTGTGTTTAATACAAAATGTCAAACTCTAAATCATCCCTAGTTTATCAAGTTGTGGTTTATACAACATGCCAAGCTCTAAATCATCCCTAGTCTACCAAGTTGTGGTTAATACAACATGTCAAACTCTTAATCATCCCTAGTCTACCAAGTTGTGGTTTATACAACATGTCAAACTCTAAATCATCCCTAGTCTACCAAGTTGTGGTTTATACAATATGTCAAACTCTAAATCATCCCTAGTCTACCAAGTTGTAGTTTATACAAAATGTCAAACTCTAAATCGTCCCTAGTCTACCAAGTTGTAGTTTATACAAAATGTCAAACTCTAAATCATCCCTAGTCTACCAATTTGTTGTTTATACAACATGTCAAACTCTAAATCATCCCTAGTCTACCAAGTTGTGGTTTATACAATATGTCAAACTCTTAATCATCCCTAGTCTACCAAGTTGTGGTTTATACAATATGTCAAACTCTTAATCATCCCTAGTCTACCAAGTTGTGGTTTATACAATATGTCAAACTCTTAATCATCCCTAGTCTACCAAGTTGTGGTTTATACAATATGTCAAACTCTAAATCATCCCTAGTCTACCAAGTTGTGGTTTATACAACATGTCAAACACTAAATCATCCCTAGTCTACCAAGTTGTGGTTAATAAAAAATGTCAAACTCTAAATCATCCCTAGTCTACCAAGTTGTGGTTTATACAACATGTCAAACTCTAAATCATCCCTAGTCTACCAAGTTGTGGTTTATACAAAATGTCAAACTCTAAATCATCCCAAGTCTACCAAGTTGTGGTTTATACAACATGTCAAACTCTAAATCATCCCTAGTCTACCAAGTTGTGGTTTATACAACATGTCAAACTCTAAATCATCCCTAGTCTACCAATTTGTGGTTTATACAACATGTCAAACTCTAAATCGTCCCTAGTCTACCAAGTTGTGGTTTATACAAAATGTCAAACTCTTAATCATCCCTAGTCTACCAAGTTGTGGTTTATACAAAATGTCAAACTCTAAATCATCCCTAGTCTACCAAGTTGTGGTTTATACAACATGTCAAACACTAAATCATCCCTAGTCTACCAAGTTGTGTTTAATACAAAATGTCAAACTCTAAATCATCCCTAGTTTATCAAGTTGTGGTTTATACAACATGCCAAGCTCTAAATCATCCCTAGTCTACCAAGTTGTGGTTTATACAACATGTCAAACTCTTAATCATCCCTAGTCTACCAAGTTGTGGTTTATACAACATGTCAAACTCTAAATCATCCCTAGTCTACCAAGTTGTGGTTTATACAATATGTCAAACTCTAAATCATCCCTAGTCTACCAAGTTGTGGTTTATACAAAATGTCAAACTCTAAATCGTCCCTAGTCTACCAAGTTGTAGTTTATACAAAATGTCAAACTCTAAATCATCCCTAGTCTACCAATTTGTTGTTTATACAACATGTCAAACTCTAAATCATCCCTAGTCTACCAAGTTGTGGTTTATACAATATGTCAAACTCTTAATCATCCCTAGTCTACCAAGTTGTGGTTTATACAATATGTCAAACTCTTAATCATCCCTAGTCTACCAAGTTGTGGTTTATACAATATGTCAAACTCTTAATCATCCCTAGTCTACCAAGTTGTGGTTTATACAACATGTCAAACTCTTAATCATCCCTAGTCTACCAAGTTGTGGTTTATACAATATGTCAAACTCTTAATCATCCCTAGTCTACCAAGTTGTGGTTTATACAATATGTCAAACTCTTAATCATCCCTAGTCTACCAAGTTGTTGTTTATACAACATGTCAAACTCTTAATCATCCCTAGTCTACCAAGTTGTGGTTTATACAACATGTCAAACTCTAAATCATACCTAGTCTACCAAGTTGTGGTTTATACAATATGTCAAACTCTTAATCATCCCTAGTCTACCAATTTGTTGTTTATACAACATGTCAAACTCTAAATCGTCCCTAATCTACCAAGTTGTGGTTTATACAATATGTCAAACTCTTAATCATCCCTAGTCTACCAATTTGTTGATTATACAACATGTCAAACTCTAAATCATCCCTAGTCTACCAAGTTGTGGTTTAGAGCTTGACATATATGTGGTTTATTTTTGGTATGATGGAATACACTTGACAGACTTGGGAACAGCTTAACTTCTGAAAATTTATAATAGTTATATTCCAATCCTAAAACAGAAGCAAAATACAAGCAAAAGCAACAAGTGTTTTAACTGTGGAGAAGGTGGACATAGTACTAGAAACTGTAACTTTGGGCATAAAATTGAGTGTTATAAATGTGGTTATTTGGGCCACAAATTAAAAAATTGCAAAAACAATTAGGGATGTGGCAAAGATAAGGAAGCCGAAATTACTGTAAATACATACACAAGGTTTGAGGTGTTAAGTAATATCTGTCAAGAATGTAACAAGGTGGCATGTGCTTGTGATTATGATAATCTTTTAATTGACATAAATGGAACATGTTCTAAATCCTTAATTAACAATAATGTAGACTCTGTATGTGTAATTAACAATATGGAAGTTCTCCCTGAGGCTAATGAGTGTGTCAATGCAAATAAGGGTGAAATAGTTGGTGAGAAAGGAAGTGGTCTGCAAATTGAATGCAAACGCATAAATGATCCTAAATTGCTTAATTCATTTGGTCTTAAAAAAAGGGGATTAAAAATTGCTAATCTCAATATTCAGCACATATTGCCAAAAATTGAGGAAATAAGACTCACCCTTAATGAAAAGAAAAGTTTACATATTTTGGGCCTATGTGAAACATTCTTAAATGCAGAATTGGGTGATAATTTAATTGAAGTAAAAGGTTATGACATAATAAGAAGAGATAGACATGAAACCCAAGACAAAACAGGGGGTGGGGTATTAGTTTATATAAACAACTTAATGGCATATGAAAGGAGAGAAGACTTAGAGATTGGTAATGTTGAATCAATTTGGCTTCAGATCAATTTTCCATACACAAAACCTATTCTTTTGTGTTCAGTTTACAGACCACCTGATATGAAAGTAGACTGGATAGATGCTTTTGAATTAGAAATAAGTAAAGCATCAAGCTTAGATTTAGAAATTATTATTATGGGTGATATAAATATTGACTATGCTCAAGGATGTAGTAACAACAAATGGTCCCATATGATACAGTGCTATGGTCTTACACAACTTATTGATAATTCAACAAGAGTAACAGATAAAAGTAAAAAGATCATTGACCATATATATACAAATAAGTCCGATAATATAATTGAAACATATGTACCTTATTTGGCATTAAGTGACCATTACCCAGTATGCCTTACAAGAAAAACAAATGTTAAAGAAATACCTGATTCTAGCCACAAGATCATAACTTATAGATGTTTTAAAAAGATTAATGAAGAGAATTTTATAAAAGAACTTCAATGTAAACCATTTAATACTGTGAAAAAAGAACATGACACAGACAAAGCTTTAAATTTCTGGTATTCTCTTTTCAATAATGTTTTAAATAAGCATGCTCCAACAAAAACAAAGCGAGTCAAAAATGTCCAAAGGCCAGAATGGTTAACCCCTGAAATATTAACTGCCAGGCAAAACAGGGATTATTACCATAAAAAGCATGATCTAGACAGATACAGGTTCTGGAGGAACAAAAGCACATCACTTATAGATGATGCAAAAAACAAATTTTATAAAACATCTATTGAACAGGCTAAAAATCCAAAAGAATTATGGAAATATGTCAAGGGGCTCAACCAAACTAAAAGTTCTCCTTTTCCATCACAACTTAAGATACACAATGGTGTTATCACAGAAACTCAGCATATAGTTCATGCTTTTAACAAACATTTTATAAATATTGCCCCGAAAGATAGCCTATCAACATCTAAATCATACAAATTTGATAGTAATAAGATTTATGAGGAGGTAGCAGCAAAAGTACCTCAAGATACTTGGTTTTACATCCCCTTAATTACAGTTGCTGAAGTTAAGGACTGCCTTAGCAATTTAAATGTTGCAAAAGCTACAGGCATTGATCAGATCAGTCCTCGCATACTTAAACTATCATCAGAAGTTATTTCACCGTCAATAGCTTATATTATAAATAGGAGTATCACTGCTGGTATATTTCCTTCTGAGCTTAAAAATGCCCGTGTCATGCCAAGTCATAAAAAGGGTCCTAAAGATACTGTTGACAACTATAGACCAATATCTATTTTGCCTACTCTTTCAAAGATTTTTGAAAAGCATGTCTGCAAACACCTATACCGATACCTATTAAAATATAAGCTCCTTCATGCAAGTCAGTCTGGATTTAGAAGCCACCACTCTTGTCACACTGCTTTACTAAAACTTATTGATCAGTGGTTGAAAGCCATTGATGATGGAGAAATTATAGGTATTATCTTCCTAGATTTTAAAAAAGCATTTGATCTGGTAGATCACATTATCCTTCTTCAAAAACTGCAGTGCTACAAAATTTCAAATTTATCATGTAACTGGTTTAAATCATATCTATCTCATAGATTCCAACAAGTTGAAAATGGGACAATCAAGTCAAGGGCACTAGAAATAAAATCTGGAGTACCTCAGGGCTCCATATTAGGCCCCCTTTTATTTTTATTGTTCATTAATGATTTGCCCCTTCATATAACCTCATCTGAAGCAGACCTTTATGCAGATGATACTACCATTCACTGCACAGGTCGTAGTCTAAATACCATCCAGGACAGCATTACAAATGATTTAGACAGAATTGAAGAATGGTGCAAGGGAAATAAGATGTATATAAATCCAACAAAAACTACATCTATGGTTATTGGTTCTAGACAGAAACTAGCAAAAACAGACCATGTTCTTAATTTGACTGTTGGTAACTCCCACATTAGAGATGTTAATGGCGAAAAGCTCCTAGGGGTTTTTATTGATGAAAATCTTGAGTGGACAGCCCAAATTGACACTTTGTGCACAAAAATCAGTACCAGGCTAAATCTTTTGTCTAGGATAAAGAAATCCCTCCCCCTGGAAACACGAAAGTTATACTTTAATGGTTATATTCTCCCTATTTTGGATTACTGTTGTACAATTTGGGGAAACACCAGTGACCAAAATACAAATAGATTAGATAATCTTCAAAAACGAGCAGCTAGAATTATTCTTGAACTTTCTTATGATACCCCATCTAATACAATGTTTAAAAAGTTATCATGGCTTCGATTTACTGATCGTGTAATTTACCACAAGGCCTTATATGTTCATAAATGTTTATATGGATCTGTCCCAGAATATTTGTCTAACAAAATCTCCTATGTTACAAATAAAAATGGAATGCAACTTAGATCAAATACTACCCAATTACTTAATATACCAAAGGCAAGAACAAACACATTTAGAAGATCTTTTTCATATTCTGGCCCAACTTTATGGAATAAACTACCAGAAGCACTAAGACACATGTCAAACATAAATACTTTTAAAACAAACTGCTTTAAGTTTTTACTTGAAAATCCAGGAATTATTTAAATGATTATGTATCAATTTTGATTATGTTTTCTAATGTTTATCTTTGTTATGAAGAAATTGTGTGATGCATTGTGAGTGGAGTGTGAGGGCCTCAAGGGAGAATAGTGTTTGTACTAATTGAGCATACCCTCTTGAAATAAAGATTATTATTATTATTATTATTATTATTATTATACAATATGTCAAGCTCTTGTGAAAATTCCAAGTTGTGAATAAATTTAAAATATATTATCAAAGATTTCTATCACTTCTACACTAATTGAAAACCAAATATAATGCAAATAAAGAATATTCTCAATAACCCATACTTTTGTATACTCTAAAAACTCACATTCATAATCTCAGAAGTGATTTTCCTTACAAAATTTTTGCAATTGCATTAATTAGATCTCACATTTTTACCAGTTATCAGTGATTTGCAATACTAAATGCGTGCATTAATTTCTGAACTTACAGTACTGTACATAAATGTGTGATATATGTTTAAACACATGCAATGCATGAAATGTACATAGAATCTTGCATCTTTTTGGCATTATGTGTTATATTTCACTTAACATTTAAATGTATTTAGCATCTTTATAGAATGCAGTTTATATTTCGCATTTATATATTTAAGGTTAAAAACTTTTTTAGTTATTTATTTTCTACAATAATCTTTAACATACGTGTATTTGTAAATCCTAAGTTCTTTATCATTATCAAATGATGAGAATTCAGTATTTTCTCTTGGAACAGGATCAGCAAACATGGTTCCCACATACAGCAAATCCAGAAAATCTATAGTACCTGGAAATGTGAAAAGTAAAAATAACATTCAATATCAAAAGATTTCTGAGATATATAATTGTGGCCTATCTTTACTTCAAAGGACCCTGTACATTACGGTAATGGTTCAATCTAATGTTAAGGTTTGTTAGAGTAAAGTTTAGACTAGGGGTATGTTTAAGGTTTATGTTAAGAATGGATAAGGGCTGGGGTTTCAAGTTCTGGTAAGTACTTGGGTTAATCTTTAAATTTATGCTTTGTAATGTAACAGAAAAGACCTATTTGATAAGGGTCCCAAAAGTAAAAGTAGACCGTAAACTAAATGAATAGCACTGGAATACTTTAACAAAAACACCTGTTCCCAGTTCAGTTATCTGCTTACAAAAATCATACAAGTTGCAAAAGTAAAAATGACAGCACAAAAAAGAAAATGTGTTCACAAATTTTTAGGAGTGTTCAGTTTAAAAAAATTTCAAACAATTTGCATTTGACACTGAAACTGCTCAGACAGAAATCAGATAAATATAAGATGATACAGACTGATTCAAGTTGTTAGATTTCAGAAATCTGAAATTCAACAGATTACAATTTCTTTAATCCTTCTGTAAAATAATATTTTATAAATTCAGAAATTTTAGGGTCTATATTTATTTTATGTGATTTTTGAACAATGGAGAAAAATTCAATGTTAATTATTACCATTTCAAGAAATGCTGCATACAATTAATGCTGACAAAATTTAAAATGCAATTTCTAATTTTTGCAAATCTATATCCCATTGCATTTTTTTGCAAGAAAAAAACATTGTGTTTCAGTTTTTACAGTAAACAGAATTAACCACAGCAAGAAAACTCGATAAAATATCAAAGGATTATACCCTAATAATTTAATTTTGGATGTAACACGTTTTCTGATTGGCTGAAAGTGTTTTGTCTATCATCTCATAGACATAATTTTGTCATGTGAGCGTGACGTCATCAACGTTTTTATCATGATTTACTCCTTTTTTGGATTAAATTATAAGGAATGACTGTAATATTTTTCTGTCTATTCGAAATAACCTAAAAAATGTGGTGCACACTTTTAGATGACACTTTGCAGGTTATTCAGTGTGTCCTTTTATAAATTTTGAAATTATAAAGAAACTAAGGTTTCAACTCCCTTAGGCAAAGTTGACCTTAGATGAATTTTTGCTCTTATTAAGGTACTTTTGGTCATATAGCTCTTCAACTGTTTCGGTTCTTATACATCCTTGGCTTTCAAATATTCGGCTTTGAGCATTCCTGATGAAGGTTAATCCAGAAAAGCACTTCGGATGCATTAAACTGTTGTGTTGTGTTGTTTTCATTTTTTTTTTAGATCCTTGTCTATTATAAAAGACAATAACTAAATAACATCTCAGCCACACTTTGGAGATCTGATTTTGAAGATGTTAAAGTTATATTCACTTTTAAGTCACTATCAGAACTGTACAATTCACATGAATCAACCAGTATATAAAATAATTACCTTTTACACTTGTAATGTTGAAATTTCTGGCATAGACTTCCATTTCATCAGGCCAACGTCCCTTAAACAAGGGATGTGCCAACATTCCTATATCAAAATGTAATCCTCTATTTCTTGTTGATTCCTTGTCATCGGAGACTTCATACCAATTACTCTGCAAAGTTATTCCAATGTCACCTTAAAACAAAAACAAGTACGATATATACCATGGTTCTTACGAGTTAACATATTCAATCAAACGAATCCGAAGGATGAGTTTGTTTAAATATGTTAATGAGTAAGACACGTGGTATATATAAATTGTAATATAAATAGAATGGTTGACAGCTTGAACTAATACAAAACACTTATAACGTTACCGATTTATCCAACAAGATGGTAGCTCGCGCAAGTCAGTATTGCATTTGACTTACAATGCTGGTCTGACACACATGCAGATTTGTAACAAACAGATACGGATGTAAGATTTTGAAAGAGGGGGGGAGTGGAACATGTAAAAAGTCTTTGCATTAACCATATATGTATCTCCATAAATGGGGTCTAGGTCCCCTTGCCCCCTCTAAATCCACATCTGACAAGGATATTAAACATTATTCTAATGATGGTAAGTTTTGTTTTATTGATAATTTTCAAGATATAAATGTTGTTCATTTCATTTTACCTTTTAGCTTTTTGTTGCATGAAATAAAAAGAAATCACATCTACGTTTATGTATTATTAAAAAAAAACATTAATTGATATGTTTTTTTTTCCTTATTTTTTAGGGTTTGTTAATGGTTCTCATTTAAAATCATATTTATAAAAATTCTTGTTTCCTAAATAGTTGAGAGGCAGATATATTTCAGAAAATGGAGGTGGAGCTTCAGCAATGGAATAACATCAAAATGAACATGTTGTACAATAGCTAAGCTCCGCCTACTTTCCTTTAAGATTCTAGTTCTTGTTTAGTTATCAAAGTATGGTAAAACATCAAATTGAAGATAATAGACCATGGTTTTCCATCAACACAATTTTTAAGCAAATTATTTCATTAAAACATCAAAAGAAAAAGTGCAATTTATATTACAAACAATTAATTTACCACTTGATTCATTGAAAAGGTTTTTTTTTTATCAAATGCATAAATGGAAAATGCAACCAAAAGCTTGTAAATTGCATAAACATGATCAAGTTTCATGTTACAGTTAGAATCTATCAAAGACCTTAATTAGGCATTGAATTTGTTGAAATAATAGCATTTTTGGGGGTCCTAAAATAGCTTTGAGTCACCTCAATTTAGTTATAATGTTGTACTGAAATAATTTTAAACCAGTTGACACATTTATATGAATCTTCATAACTTAATTTGGGGATGTCCTGAAATAGAAATGGACTGCTACACTTTGATTTCACAAACTATTTAGGAGATCCTAAATTCAAATTGTGAAGTTCTATTAATATTAGAGAACCTCCTTAAATCAAACATATTACATGTATTAGCTAATTATTCATGGAGGTCATGAAATAAAATTAAGTAAATTCACAAATTTCGTTGTTATTTCTGGAAGGGCTTTCATTTGGTATCAGCTTACTAGATGTATCAATTTCGACATAGTTCTTTTTTTTAGCTTATGCATTATTATTAAGCAGCTACTGTTTCCTTGGTGCTTGTAGGGTAGTCCATGCCAGATGTTCAAGCATGTTACTAACTGATGAAGTGTTGTGATATCTGCTGAAGTTGTGTATCCACTCATTTATTTTACCTGTTATCCCATAATGATTCAGTTTGTGGATGAGAAGGCTATGACTATAACCTTATCAAATGCCTTGTAGAAGTCCATTATGAGACAATCTGTATGTTTTTGTTGATCTTAATTGTTAGTTAATTTATCAATGAATTCAATTAGTTGTGACTCACATGATAATCCCCTTTGAAACCTATGTTGAAGTGGATACATAGTTTTGTATTTATCAGCATGAGACATAAGGAAAAGAATTTTAATTTCACTGCACTTGCCTAGATCAGTTACTCTACTAATCATACAGACCTTATCTTACAATGAACTAAAAAAAAAAACATTATCAGTTCATCAATTTGAAGGAATGATTTCATACCGTAACTTTAAAAAAATATTATTGCATGAAGTAGCAATCATAAAGGTCAATAAGACAATGCTTCTTCCATAACAACACTAATTGAAAATGTTAAAAACACCATGATTGCTCACCTTGCTGTTTAGTTTTGTAGTTGTTCTTGTATCTGTTGTATGCAGTAGAATGAGCCAGTAAGACATTACTAGCAGCCTTGTAAACAGTCTCTGCAGGGCCATCAATACCAGGAGCCATGTCTTTTGTTCCATATCCTCCATAAACAAATGTGTAAGGGTCATGAAATGTGATCCATTGTTTCACCTACAATATCAATTTATTAATCAAATGATTTGTAATGTAATAACAAACTTGAATTTGATTTAAGTTATTTTAACAGATACCTTTTCACCAGTCAGGGGACTTACTTAAATGAGTGATTTTCTAAATCACTGATTCAAGTAACATTATGTTCATAAAGGTTGGAAGTAAGAGCTGTCTTTCTTAATAATCACCTATTTAAGTAGAACAGATTAATCACTAGACTAAGTGATTTAATTTTATTGTAGCCTTAAATATAGAATACTTATGATCCAGGGACTAATTATGTTGCTAAAATTATCAGAACCAACATCTGTGTTGATAAGATGACCAGGTCATGTCAGGTGATGACCTTGTACTAAATCTAGGATAATGACATAAAAATCACTTGTTTAAGTATCATACCTCAATTTCCTTCCAAAAAATCACTTCTTTAAGTATCATTATTTTAATAACCCCCACTAATTTCAACACCCCCGAACAGTGAAATTTTGATCGCGAACAGTAGAATTTTATTACATAATCTATAAGATGAAACCTTGAATTTTACAGGAAAAATACTCCCACTACTGGGAAAAATCTGTTAAAAAGTATTAGTTGATTGTGTAAAGCCATTTTTATAGCATTTTTTCAACTAAAATAGAATTTGCAGCTAAATGATTGCATCAAAGGCATAAACCTTGCTGCTTAAAAGAAGCAAAAAGTTCATTTTTTCAATTTTACTAATGAAAAGATATTATCTAAACCTATGTGTTTAAAATTTTGGTAAAACTACAAAATCACAATTTGTGACAAAACTTCGAATTTGCTACTTAAATAAGTGATTTTAAAAATCACTTATTTCAATAAGTCCCCTGACTGTTCACATTTAGCCTGTATTAAGAAACCTTGAGACTATTAACTTTTCACAATTTTGAAACTTTGATGTTTTCGTATTAGAGAAGATTTAGGTTTTGATTCACTTTATTTTTGAACACATGAAAGTCTGACCAATAAATCACATATGAATGAAAATAAGTTGGTTTACATTATTGTGAACTGTAGAGCCACTTATGACCAAAAATGGTGGTTATTGTACATGTTTCTGATTTTTCATCCCCCCCCCCCACTACCCCTTTTCATGCAAACTAATTTTTCTGGTACCCCTTTTTGAAAATTCTAGAACAGCTACTGATCTATTTAATTACATAGTGTTAATACATATATCTCTTTTCAACTATAAAGTAACATGATGTTATGAACAATTATAGATTTACAGGGTGTTGATTCTCTTTTGAATTTTTAACTGTACATTCCCTATGTAAGTAAGAGCTTCTCACAAGGTATATAATGTCACCACATATAAATGGTAGAATTGTGACCTATTATCAGGCTACTCTCTAGTTGAGTAAACTAAATGTACATTAAAACCCTAGTACAACTTTATATGCCATAATGTATAAAAGAATTTACATTTGTTTTCATCTCGTAATAAAACTTTCTTGAATCTTATTACTACTACTAACCTTGACTTCCCATAAGGTTTCGCAAGGTTGGTTTTATGAATACAATTAAAGAGATATCAGTTAAGGCTTCAAACAGACACAGTCTTTTGTCTACTTTTCATCATATAATGTAATATTACAAATTAGTTTTTTTCCACCATAATCATTCTCTCCTACTGGCAAACATACCTTATGACAATATATGAACTTATACCACATAAAACTTTAATGTAAGATTGTATTTTTTCAGCAAAGTACAAGCTGTTGAGTAAACAGGAATTCATCACACAATACACCTTCAGGCTTACAAATTAACACAGGTATTCTTGTTTAATTGCACTAAAGACAATACTACCTTGAGGCCATATTCCTTGAAGCATTTATCTGCATAAGCTGCAAATTTATCAACAATGGTAGGATTGAGCCATCCTCCTAAATCTTGAAGTGCCTGAGGTAGATCCCAGTGATATAACTCCACCATGAGGGAAATCCCTGCTTCTTGGTAAGCAGTAATGACATTATGATAGTGCTGTATGCCTTCAGTGTTAAATGGTCCATCACCTGATGGCTGTATTCTGGTCCAGGACAACTGAAGTTTAAAATGCTTTGCCTACAAGAAAATACAAAACCTTTTTAAGTTTTAGGAAAATGTTTGAATGTTTCAGAGGCATACCACTTTTTTTTTTTTTTTCATTATTAGCAGTTGGTCAGAATTATTGCAAACAATTTCTTATTGGGTTTACCACCATTTTTCTTTTTCTCAGCAAGAAAAATCAACAAGATCTATTAAGAACAAGAATGTGTCCAAAGGATACCATGCCCTGCTAACTTTATCACATTTACATGTTTAATGAACCATGAAATTTTGGACACACAGACTGGAGAACATATATAATGGTCTTCTTCTTTCTTAGGGGAATATTTTTCAACGGTTTTTGGTCTGTTATGGCCATGTGGTCCCAAATTGAGGTTTTTAATAATACGATAATGACATAAAACCTGTTTAGTAGATAGCTCAGCAAAAAACCTCCATAAGTTTTTAAAGATATTTCACCTGGCCTACTCTTGCACAAAAGGTGGTTCAATTAAAATGATTAAAATTATACCCTGGTGATTAGGGACGACAAAACACTGATTTGGGCCCCTATACATGTCATTTCACTGAATAAATAGTTGATACAAAAGTGAATTTAAGCTTATTTGCTTATGCTACGAGGTACTGTGCTTTTGTTTGAATTATTATGTTTGCTTGGAAATTTTTTATTTTGTTTGCTCTCTGTCATATTTAAGCATGTTTTTTTTCGAATTTATTTCTATTATTCTGTTGGAATTTAATGTATTTTGCAATAACTTAAAAACTCTCCATGAAGAATATAAAAGTCTGTTAATAAGTAAATATGTACTTTATTCAACTCTCTCTTGTAAAAGTTATTTTAGGATCTATTGATATGTTTTATGTAAAGATGTCATGTGGTCATATTGACATGAACTTTTAATAGGGAAGTAATCTGGTTCATTATATTATATGTACTTTATTTCAATCACATAGTCACCTTTATTATTGTGAAATGTGCATTGAGTTATAAATGAAGAATTGTTTTAAGTTTTTGGTTTTGGTAATTTATCACAACTTTTTTTGTACTATTTCTGTTTTGTAAAGTTTATCAGCACCAATTATCCACGTTAAGATTTTGTAAATTACAGGTTCACATTCCCTTTACAACTCTTCTTGCCGGCAAGGCTTATATTTGGTTGCCTGGGATGATTAACACAATTTACAGTCACTACATGTAATGTATTTATTACAGTTTTAGTATAAAATCGGCAAGTCAGTTTTCTCTATTGAGTTGTTTCACATTTTGCAGACCTGCCAACTTTTGAAAATCCCCATGGGGGGTTTTAGTGCGCGACCAGATTTTAAAGAGATACAATTTTTGCGGCGTTTCTGTGTGAACTGTTTTTTTACTCTTGTCTCTTCTTTTTTCTTTTGTTATACTGATTATAAGCTTAGCCTTGTTTTCTTTTATTTCTTGTACTTATTAATTGGAAGTAATGAGAAGATGGATAAAATTTTAGTTATCTTTCTTGGTATTCAGAGGTGCTCCTACCGGCGGAGGCTTATACACAGTAAAAGTGAATACAATATGGCGTCAATTTTAAATCACAACTGGATGTTTAACTTCTGATTTCAAAAATTCGGTAACCAACAATTTTTTCTGGTAGATTTTGTGAAAATCAGGATTTTGACTTGTTTTACGTTCCCGATATCAGGATTCGGGTTGAGGGATGAAAATCCGGATGATACCCTAAAATCAGGATAGTTGGCAGGTCTGATTTTGTCTCTTCTGTTGTTCAATAGCTTATTATATTGTATATGATTTGCTCATTGTTGAAGGATGTTTGATTAACTGCAATTGTTCAAATCTTAGTCCTATGGTCTTTGATGGTTAGTTGTCTCATCAGCAATCATACTCCATCTCCTTATTTCTATAGTAATTGTCACCATAATAAATTTGCTCAAATAGAAATCATGAAATACAATACATGTGGAGCGTTTTATGCTCTTTGATGTAAAAGAGTCTCAGAGAGTATGTTCAAAAGCCACTTTTACAACTGTTCTTGGATTATTGAGTTTAGCTGTGTAAATTGCATAAATAAACAGTCATATCCTATTAGAGGTTGGTTAGTTTAAAACAAATCAAAACTTATCAGATACATTGACTTATCAATTTAACAGGGATAATAAGGATATACTCAAATGATATGACCACCATTGTGAACTCTTTGTAGAGAATAACAAAGATCAAACTTGGAAACTTCCTGGGCAATTAACTTGCATTTGGTTAATTTTAAATGCCTAACTTAGATTTAACACCATATTGGCAAATTATTTTGCTTTACTTTCCTTTGTCATACTATCTTTAGTTAATTATTGTTGAATATATGCATGCAGGAGCTGCACTTTCGAGGTACGTGACATTGATTGATGCCCAATTGGCAAGTCCACTTATCTCCCATTTGGAACATAACTGAATCGAGTGCACCTTATTCTTAAACATCCCAGAATAAAGAATAAATTTAAGACAAATACACTACAGATTTCCAAATGGCTAGTTTCTGAATAAAAAGTAATGCAAGATTTAGAAATGAAGCAAAATCAACTCTGTAACAGAAAAAGGAAAATCAATAAAAGTTAACTGACAACTAACAAAAAGGGGGAGACAAGAGTGACATGCTGTCACAAAAGAGTAGGTGGGGTAAGTGACTTCACATATTACTCCCCTCTTTATCATGCAAACTTATTATTTCGAAAAGAAAAATACTGCAAGTTAATTTATAATAAACATGTGAGAAAATGAAATAGAACGATGGTTGTAGAACTTTGCTAATAAAATGCATGTTTTATATTCACAGGACCTGACCTGAATAGTACATTTGACATGTATTTGATAATTGTACACCTATCACCTCTAGACAGTCATGCTTTGAATGTCATTTTATTTCTATGATGCATAGGGTGATTTTTAACTGTCTACGTGTCATGTCCCATATCAGTTCTTTTTCACAAGCCTATGTTAGATAATGATAGAACAACTCTTTTAGCAAAACACCACCATCAACAATCTTGGAAAAAAAAATTCGTTACATGTTTAATATTCACATTTATTACAGATTTTTGACATGCAACATACATATGTAGACTTAAAACTCGGGATAAAATGTTGTTTTTGATATATCTCCAGCTACATAAATGTCAACATATCTGATGGAGTGGATAAGTTTTAAAAAGACCGACCTCTAATGGCAACAAGATTGGAAATGTTGAGTCAAAGATCAATAGTTGATTGGGAGTAAACTAATTGCAATGTATGAGGGGAGTTGTTCTATTGTAATACCTTGTTCAACCCATCATTTCCATTAGCAATCTGATCAGAAATATGGTACATGTCCTCATTAATTGTCCCAAACCTATTTTTTAGAAAATTTTCTAGCTACTTTAAGGACATTGATTTTTTTTTAAAATCTCCATTTAAGATTACCATATGTGACAAGGTGATAAAATTCATCCGGAGCAAATAATATCAATTGAATCATAAATAAATTTAGAGAATAAAGATGACTTATTATAAAGAGATGTGTAATTATGAATGTATGAGAAGAATATGTATACTGGGTATAATAATTACTAACCTCTAAATGTTGAATGCAAGTGATATCTTATGAGTAGGATACATATACCTAGAATAACTATTACTAACCCCTAAATGTTGAATACAAGTGATAGCTTTTGAGTATGATACATACCTGGTATAAATATTACTTAATACCCCTTAATGTTGGATATAAGTGATATCTTATGAGTATGATAGATACCTGGTATAATTATTACTTAATACCCCTTAATGTTGAATATAAGTGATATCTTATGAGTATCTTACATACCAGATATAACTCTTACTCAACCCCTAAATATTAAATACAAGTGATATGATATGAGTATGTTAGATACCAGGTATAACTATAGGCTTGCATCCTGACCCAATCTAATACTTTGTCGATAGGGCCAGGCATAATACAATCCACTTGACCAACTATCAGCGCTGAACAGGACTGAATAACTGAGCATGTGCATGTTCTATAAACAAGGAATATGTCGATCGGATCGTTAATTAACAGTTGATTCACGATGTTAATCAATAACATTTGAATTATATATGCTAAATTTTTGGAAATGAAAAATAATTTTCAATGAATTCGTGACAATATAAATATTTCCCGCCAAGTGTGAAGAAATGACGCTATCCCACGATGAATCATTCTATCATCCAATTGACGAAACTATGTCGTTGTATTCCGCCTGACTCTACTGTCGAGCAGTGAGCCAGGATCCCAGGCTAGTATAACTATTACTAACCCCTAAATGTTAAATACAAGTTATATGTTATGAGTATGAAACCTAACAGGTTTAACTATTACTAACCCCTAAATGTTAAATACAAGTGATATGAGTATGACCTAACAGGTTTAACTATTATTAACCCCTAAATGTTAAATACAAGTGATATGTTATGAGTATGATACAAAACAGGTTTAACTATTACTTATCCTTAAATGTTGAAAACAGGTGATATCTTATGATATCTTATGAGTATGATACATACCTGGTATAACTATTACTAACCCCTAAATGTTGAATACAAGTGATATCTTCTGAGTATTTATTGAAGCTGTCTGCTGCCACATCACCTGTGACTCCACCTAGTACATGACCACTATGTGTAAATCTGTCCCAGATACTTTCACCCTTGCCTGAAAACAAATATGCAGTCTCTAAAGAGGCTTGTCGTTAGAACTCACCAAAAGCGATAATATAAATGTGCAAGTGACTAGTGAAGTGTAAACTAAAATGGTACATGCAAAGAAATTAGCTGGAAACATTTTTAGATGCTCTACACACACTCAGTTCTCATGAAATATACACAACCAAAGACAGTAAAATGAGGCACTTCTTGGATATAAAAATATATGGCTTGATAGCAAAATAAAATATGTGTGTTTCCAGTTACTTTTAATTATCTAAGGACAAATTAAAAACTTAGAACTTTTAATGAAAGGCAACATATTTAAATTTAAAGCAATAGCTCACATCAGCCTATAAGATACTGTGAAAGTACTTTTATTCATGGGTATCCATTTTCGTGGTTTGAGCAAAAGTTACATGGTCATTGGTTCTTAAGTTCATGGATTTAAGTTTTTTGAAAGAAACTTTTTGTCAGTGACTTTTTGTCTTTGACTTTCTCTCCTACATTCTTTCATTACTGACAACATTATCAAACTTTTAATAAAATAATTGCTTTCGGAAATAAGCTGATTCATATATGCTTACAAATGTTCTCAGTTGAAGGAAATTGCAAAGTAAACATTTTAATTGTTGCACACATGTAATCAGAAGTGATGACACTTATTAACCTGAGATTGATTGATCAACAGATTAATGATTACCAATGGTGTTAATTGGGCCATAAACATGTCACTTAAAGAAACGGTTACATAAACAAATGCAACAAATGTACTTTGAATTGTAGAATTAATTCTTATGAAATGAAAAAAGCAAGCCCAATATGAAATATTTTTTTTTCATATCCCAGTTCTTGAAATCTTTTTTTTTTCCTGGTGGTCCTTGAAGAAAATCTGCTGATCCTCACTATTATTTCTATTGCAAAATACCATTAAAATTGTGTCTATCCTTTGCTAAATTTTGGTGGTCAAAACCTTCAGACCACCACTTTTACGAGAAATCTGTTGTATGATTTGGACAACAGTTCTTATATTTCGTTGGATATTTAAATTCGTAGTCTAGATAAAGCCATCCATGAAAACCAAGAAAATTGATACCCCACGAATAAAAGTACTTTCAGACATGTCAGAGTATAACAAGATTGCTACGCTGTAGCAAAATTTCATTCAACGCTGTGTAACTGTGGACAACAAATATGACAAAGTGCCATAACTAGCAGAAGAATTGTCAAATCAAATGGCAGTAAGGTAAGATCAACTACACAGGATCTTTGATGACAAAAAAATCCTACCAAGTATAAAAGGTTTCTGTCAAAGGTTTCATAAGAACTGATCATGCCAGACCCTCATGTGAAGTCAAGGTCGTTTAAAAATCCTAGTGGTAGTTTCAGAAGAATTCAATTCACAAGATGTCATTGTGTTACAATCATGACAATGGAGTTCAATTCATAAAGTGTTATTATGTTACAATGGAGTTAAATTTACAAGGTGTTATTGTGTTACAATGGAGTTCAATTTACAAGGTGGTATTATGTTACAATGGAGTTCAATTTACAAGGTGGTATTGTGTTACAATGAAGTTTAATTCATAATGTGTTATTGTGTTACAATGGAGTTCAATTCATAAGGTGGTTTTTGTATCGATCTGATGAATTAAGCCTTTTTCAAGTGATTTTTATAGTTTGTTCTTATGTTATGCTGTTACACCAATGTCCCAGGTTAGGGAGGGTTGAGCAATCACAAACATGTTTAACCCCGCCACATGATTTATCTTCCTGTCCCAAGTCAGGAGCCTGTAGTTCAGTGGTTGTCGTTGGTTCATGTCTGTCATATTTGTTTTTCGTAAATTATTTTGTTATTAATTTTGCCTTGAGTTTTCTCAATCAAATTTTTCATATTTTTCATGTCAGGGCCTTTTATAGCCGACTATACGGTATGGGTTTTTCTCATTGTTGAAGGCCGTATGGTTGCCTATAATTGCTTACATCCACTTTATTTGGTGGATAGTTGTTGTTTGACAATCATTCCTCATCTCCTTACTTTTCTATTACAATGGAGTTAAATTCATCGGGTGTTATTGTGTTACAATGGAGTTCAATTCACAAGGTGTTATTTTGTTACAATGGAGTTCAATTCCCAAGATGTTATTGTGTTACAATGGAGTTCAATTCATAAGGTGTTATTGTGCTACAATTGAGTTCAATTCATAAGGTGTTATTATGTTACAATGGAGTTCAATTCATAAGGTGTTATTGTGTTACAATGGAGTTCAATTCCCAAGATGTTATTGTGTTACAATGGAGTTCAATTCACAAGGTGTTATTGTGTTACAATGGAGTTCAATTCACAAGATGTTATTGCGTTACAATGGAGTTCAATTCATAAGGTGTTATTGTGTTACAATGGAGTTCAATTCACAAGGTGTTATTGTGATACAATGGAGTTCAATTCCCAAGGTGCTATTGTGTTACAATGGAATTCAATTTACAAGTTATTGTGTTTCAATTAGGGATGTCAACAAGTACTCGATGACTCGAGTATCGCTCGGTAGTACCGAGTATCTATTGCCAAAATGATACTCGTCTAATGGGGATCCTGCTAGAATGTTGTTGCTTTCTTAAGCTTAAACAACAAATATTTTTATTGAGAGCACCTCCCGGGAAATTATATATTAAACAAATATAATAAAAATTAAAACAAGATTCGAATGTTTGCGTTTAACTGTCATTTAAAATAGCTCTAAACGGAGGTAGGAAATGAACAAGAGCACTTTTCCAAGGCTTACACTTTTTGCTAATATTTGTCATTCCCCCACCTTTCTACCGTCAGAGCATATATTTACATCAGCAGAAATGTTAGTTGCCTAACAAAGTTGAGAAATCGCCTTGTCCCAGAAAAAATTGACAAGATAATGCTTTTCAATAAGAACAAATTCGTTGCATCCTGTGTCGGCCCTCAGAAATTGATTGAAGGCATCAGTAAGTTCTAATCATCACCCTTTTAGCAGAGACATATATACACATGTATGTCTCTGCTTTTAGTAATCATCAAATGTGTTTTTTTTTTATGGTTCCCAAATACTGTTGTTTGAGTAATCATTTTTCTATAGATATTAATTAATTACTTGATGAGATTATTTTCAGCTTACATAATTAGTACATTGGGCTATTAATTAGGATATAAAATTCCTAGGACCTTTATTTAGTCCTAGGTAATAAAGCTGAGTTTTTTTACGTTCATAAGGCAACGACCAACAAAACATAAAATGGGTATAATTTTGTGCTGCCACTTTGTAAAAGTTTTACCGAGCGAGTACTCGAGTACCGATGGGTAAATCCAACGAGTACTCGATTAGTAAATCTTCACCGACTTGACATCCCTAGTTTCAATGTATTAGAAAAATAAAATTAAAATCCCAGTTCTCCAAAAAAAATTGTTTAAACGAAATGAGGGTATAACATGTATAATATGATGACAAGATATCCTCATAAAGAATATATAAGCTTCTGTAATATGGTCTCAGGCCCTGTGGGGAGTACCAGTAATGCATTTAAAAGTTGTCTTAGTGTTAAAATATTCGAACCTAGGTACTTTATTCATTGGATTTCTACCACATGATTTGGGCCCTTTTGATTTAATAACCTCCCTTAGTTGCAGATTGAAAGATATAAATTTTAGCTAATTTGTGGATCATAAATCAAGACTTCTTCCAACTTAGAAGATCTTAGAACTCTCCCTAATGTGTCCTTGAAACTTCCTTTGGTGAAAATTAACAAATATGTTGTGTTATTCTATAAAAAATTCGTAAGGGTTCCGCGGAACCCAGTGTCTCGCCTACTTTTGCTGTTTAATAGTCGCAGGCTCAACAAAAATGGGGAAAAAAATTATTAAAAATTTTTCCTCTAGATACTATCTTTTGATTGTAAGAAATTCTGTTGAAGTTTGGTAAAAATCCAAGAAGGTTTATAAATCTAATAAATGTTTTAAAAACTTTAACTGCAGACTGTAAGTAATGTTAACTGGAATAAAACTAAGTCCACCTATAAGTAATATACGGAAAAACAGGAAATAAATTTTTACAAAATTTCGTTCTAGATACTAGCTTTTGATCATAAAGAAGCTTCTGTCCAAGTGTGGTACAAATCCAGGATAGTTTAAGAAAGTTATTAAAATTTGAAAAACTTTAACAACAGAGTGAATGTTATGTTAACTGGCAGTAAAACTAAGTCCACATATGCGTAAAATACGGATAAACAGGATTTTTTTAACAAAATTTTCTTCTGGATACTTTCTTATGATTATAAACAATCTTCTGTCCAAGTTTGGTATAAATCTAGGATAGTTTAAGAAAGTTATTAAAATTTCAAAAACTATAACCACAGGATGAATGTAATGTTAACTGGCAGAAAAACTAAGTCCATTTATGATTAAAATACGGAAATACAGGATTTTTTTTTTTACAAAATTTTCTTCTGGATACTATCTTATGATCATAAACAAGCTTCTGTCCAAGTTTGGTAGAAATGAAGGATAGTTTAAGAAAGTTATTAAAATTTCAAAAACTTTAACCACAGGGTGAATATTTGTGGACGCAGCCGCCGATGTCGACATAATGTAGGATCGCTATGTCTCGCTTTTGCGACAAAAGTGGCAGGCTCAATAAAAATCATTATAGGTTGCACTTTGTAAATACAGCTGTTTCACAAACCACACCTCTTTTGGGAGATATATAATATTCATGGATATTTTGTTTTGTTCACGTACTGGTTGAAAACGTCTCTACGTAAAGTCTGTAACTGTTTTAAAATTTATTTGTTATAAGAACCCTACAAAACAGACCAAAATTCATCTTTCATTTTGTATTTGAAGGTTCCAAAATCAATCAAAGTCTTATACATGTACATGTATACGTGCACTTACAAAAGGTTGATTTCTATCCGACGCAGCTCATATATAAACTTTATGTAAAATTTCATATGGGGACATACACGTTTATTTCTATTCTGAATTTA